ATAACTCACCTTCAATCCGAGTAACACGGCTACTAGTCATGGGTGTCCCTGAGCTCGGACCTGGCCCTATACACCAGAGAACACAATCAATCTTTTCAAATTCTGACATTGCACTCCATTGACTACATGCATTAAGGTGGATCGAGCTTTACAAGCTTGACTTACCAGTGCGGATGGTTGCAGGAGAAACCGTTGTACCTGTCACTGTAGTTGGTGACTGTGCTAAACAGCAGAGGAAAATTATTAACTTTTAATGTAGGTTTTGCAAAGATATTTTTCCATGCTCTGATAAGTGGATGAATAATACTCACCACTGATGGTGACTTGTGAAGTGCTTGATTTTCCTGTTGATGCTGTGGTTAATGTTAACCCTAGTTAGCATTGATAAGAAAATAAATTAATCCATCTATTCTCAGCAGGCTGGAATGTTCATTGTGGTATGTTTCACATCTATTCATATGTGTCTTCATCTTCAAGCAATTTCAAAATTGGCTAACAAACATTTAAAGAAGATCTTCAATATGCACATTAATGTATCACTTGAATAATTGTGTAGTGAATGCAATGTCAACATGAAGAGGAATTTTTGGCTCTAGTTGGTTGCAGGTTCATGTTGGATTGTCAGTTGGCATAAAATTATTGAAATCTTGACAGCAAACATTTCAACAAGTCTTTTTTGAACGTACCAAGCTGCTTCTATCAATTACAAACTTAACTTTGCAGCTAACTGCAGAACTGATTAAAAATTAAAGGCTGATATTCAACCTACTCCAAACATAAATTTCTCAATGTTGACTAACATTGTGGATTCTGCTTACAAAATATCTAAACTTTCATCTTTCAACAGTAAAATCCATAATGAATAAATTCTTTGTCAACAATCACCATAACAGAATCTTTTCTTTCAGAATGGCCCACGTGAGCAGCTCTCCTTTGATCCGAGTATTTATATCCATTGTGATACTCGCAGTGATGATTTGACAAATTCAGCTGAAAACCTGGCTCACAACTCAATTTACCTTCTATCAGTAACCACATATACATAAATAAGATGTGAGTAAAGGTAACATTTACTCACCTTTCATCCAAGTAACAGGACTACTAGTTATATGTATTTCTGTGCTTGGTTCTGTGCAGAACACAATCAAAACCGTGCAATTCTGTACTTTAACATTATAACATGAATTGTTAGACTGGTTATCACACCAGTCACTGCCAGCCATTTGGAAAAAGACATTTATTTCCACTCTCTGTTCCATGTCTGTCAACCAATAGTGATCATTCATCGTTTGTGGGAAAAACAACATGACACCGTTGTCAATTAGACAAGTTGATCAAAAAAGATCTTCTCATATATAAACATCATCCTTACCTGATGTGGATGTTTCACTGATTGTTGTTGGCATTGGCATCATAAGTGACTTGCAGCAAACACGAATTTTGTAGTCATCACAAAACATCCGTGAAGATCCTTCAGACACTTTACACACCAGTCCTAGATCATTTTCACAAATCACATTGTCTACTGATTCACTCAGTGGCTTCTCAGGGTAATCAACATATTGACACTGAACAACTCCAACAGCTTCAGGGTGAGGACACAACTTATCCTTTATAAGAAATAAAAGTTCCACATCTTTTGGTTTGGAAATTGTTGGAGTGTGTTGATTAAACCAAGAAGACCATTCACCATGGCAGACTGGCTCTGTAACAGTGAAAAAGGACTATATATGAGAACCTTATATACTAACTATGAAAATATTTAACATAAACGTAGCAATGCAATATTTACAGAATTTAGTTGTGCTTCAAAGAGCCCTTCTGAAATCATTCAATCAAAGCAGAAATGGGCAGAACTTTTATCATCGCACCATGTTCTGACAAAATGCAGATAGAAAGTTTCAGCAGAATGACAGCGTGAATTACATAAAGAAAAAGCAAAATTAATGCTGATGCATAAGAAGTAACAAACTCATCGATGTCTAAAAGGGAAGAATCAAAAAAGTTGATCATCATACATGTCAAAACTGTTGCCATTTCAAATCAAAATCTGGCAACAGTGAAACATTAGCCTGTACCCCTGAAATTCATGAAGCTTAAACAACAGCATGGATCTTATCTGATAGCTAACCATAATTGGGCTTGTGACATGGAATGTCTGGAAAAATTTAATTTTTCAGTGGCTCTGCAAAGCATTGGCTTTTCATTATCAAACCAAATATACTTCAACAAGACGTGAGGCAAAATAAAGCCAATATTCTGTGTGCAATGTTTATATGATAGGACACCAAGAATGTCTTGAAGGATGACATCAAGCATTCGCTTTACTCTGCCATTCTATTATTTCACCCATTTCCTATCAGGAAGCAATGTCTGGACACAGCATGAAACATACACAGTCAACAAATCAGATGCTTATAATCAGTGATGAGGAACATATGTGGAGCTCATAACTTGTACATTTCCACATGGCTGGACTGATGTCTAGGGCTACTTCATTCTCCATCAGCAAAAATTCATTTGAGCTCTGCAACCTATTGGCCTTTCAGTTTGTAACCAAACAACACAACCAATATTCAGTATGCACAGTCTATATTACAGGGCATAGAGAATATCTTGAAGGTTGACAATAAAAATTTATATTTATCTGTCATTCTGTCGTTCTACTGCATTTTAAGTGAGCTTTACTGATCAGTATGAATGGTTGCAGGAGAAACTAATACACCTGTACAATACAAGAGCTTACAATAGCTCTGCCAAGTGTAGACTTTTCACTTTCAAGCTAAATATATTTCAAGAAGCCATGAGATGAGGTAATGCCAGGGTTCTCTGTATACAGTCTATACCATTGGGCACAGAGAATGTCTTGAAGGATGACATTCACTTTTACCTGTCTTTCTGTCATTCCATTTCTCTCCCATCAGAAAACAATGTCAAGACCCAGGATGAAAGATACACACTCAACATGTAAGATGCTCACTGTGGTAGGATGAATATCAAACAACAATGAGCCAGAATACAAAAGGGGGTTAGAGGATTTAGTGATGTGGTGCAATGATAACATTCTCTTTCTCAATGTCAGCAAAACAAAAGAACTGACCATTGACTTCAGAAAGGAAGTAGCAGAACACTATACAGTAACAGAGCAGAGGTTGAGAGGGTTGAAAGCATCAAGTACCTAAGATTGGTGATAACCTGTCTTAGACTTCCCATGTAGATGCGACAGTCAAGCAAGTACAACAACGTCTCTTCTGCCTCAGGTGGCTCAGGAAATTTGCCATGTCTGAAAGAGCCCTCACCAACTTTTATAGATGCACCATAGAATGCATATAGTCCGGGTGCATAATGGCCTGGTATGGAAACTGCTCTTCCCAGGACTGCAAGAAACTAAGAAGGTTGTGTGCACAGCCTAGGCCACCACTCAAGCCAACTTTCCATCCATAGGCTCCATTTAGACTTCTCGTTGCCACAGAAAGGCTGCCAACATCATCAAAGGCCCAACCAACCCCAGTAATGCTTTCCTACAACCTCTCCCATCAGGCAGAAGGTACAGAAGCTTGAACACATGCAACAGTAGATTCAAGAACAGCTTCTGCCCTGCTGTTATTACACGTATGAAGGGACTTGCTAACTTCAAATAATGCTGATCTTGTTCATGTTGATCTTGCCTCCCGCATGTCCTGTGCGGTGTAACCTGTATGCCTCACTCTGTCCAAGTATTTTTTCACCTTGTGATAGTACGTCCTTGCTTACCATGATCTGCCTGTCCAGCTCACAAACAAAACTTTTCACTGTACTTTGGTACACGTGACAATAAATCAAATTAAATCAAATCGAATCACAAATAGAAATAGGGAAAATCCCCAGAGCTAACAACATATACACTTCTACACGGATGGAAGGATGTACAGGAATACTTCATTCTCCACTAACAAGAAATCACAACACTGCCCCTCGTTTCTACAATAAATTGCTCTTGACTAACGTGAGTAACAGGACTACTAGTCATGTGTACCTCTGTGCCTACAACCACCCATATACAGAAGAGAACATCACCAATACAATAGAATTCTGACATTGCATACCATTGACTACATTCATTAAGGTGAAGTGAGCTTTATTTAGCAGTCCTGATTGTTACAAGATAAACTGGTATACCTGTGACTGTAGCTGGACCACACACCAAATAGCAGAGTAACATGATGGAGTGTTAATGCAGGTTTTGCAAAAAAATCTCTTTCATACTCTGATAAAGAGACGAACAAGACTCACCACTGATGGTGATCTGTAAAGTGCTTGATCTTCCTGTTGCTACTGTTGATGTTATCCCTAGTAAGCACAGAAAAGAAAATAAAAGAAACTATTAATTCTCAGCTGTTTGGAAAGATCGATCTGGGTATGTTTCACCTATTCACATCAATTGATACATCTGGCCAAGCAATTTCAAAATGCGCTCACAGACTTTGAAGGGTGGCATAGTGGCTCAGTGGTTAGCTGCCTCACAGCCCCAGGGATTTGGTTAATCTCCAACTACTCACAATCTAACTTGAATTTACCAGCAACTTGAATCAAGAATTCCTCTTCATGGTGACCACTGCATTCATTAATTACTTATTCAAATGATACATTATGTGCTTATTAAAGATCTCAAAAGTCTGTGAGCACATTCTAATGAATTTGTTCAGAGGTAAACAAATCGTTCCTCCTAGGACAGGCCTGCCATCACTGGTATCAGCCTCAGACAGGCCATGAAACACGCACTCCTATGCCAACTATATCCTCTCTTACATAGGGAAACTAAAACTACATGCAATACCCCAGGTGTGGTCTGACCAAGGCCCCATACAACTGTAGTGAGACATCAATGCTTCTGAACTCAAATTCATTGGCAATGAAGGCTAACATAGCATTAGTCTTCCTAATTGGTTGTAGCCCCTGCCTGTCTATTTTCATTGACTGGTGTACAAGAATATCCAGATCCCTTTGTACACCCACATTTCCCAAAGTATCACCATTTAAAACAATATTCTTCCTTCCTGTTTTTCACACCGATGCGTATGACTTCCACATCAAAGTGTATAACCTCACAGTCAGGCATGTTATACTGCATCCACTATTGGTTTGCTCATTCATTCAATTTGTCTACATTACTTTGAAATCTCCTTGCAACCTCTTGCAGCGCACAATCCCAACCAGTATTGTGTCATCAGCAAATGTGGAAATGCTGTATTTGGTTCCCTCATCCAGGTAATTTATACACATCATGAATCAGTTAGTTCAGCTGCCTGAATGGTGGGGTTGAAACGCAAAGCACAGCCAACAGCGTGGGTTCAATTTCTGCACTGGCTAAAATTACCTCTCCCCTGGCTGTGAAATGGTAATCTGCAGGTTATACTACTCAGGTTATACTCCAATGAGACAGCAGCCCAATGGTCGGGTTGGTCTATGTTGACTTACCTTTTTTTTGATCTTATATTATGAATACTTGGGTTGAAACACTGACTCTTGTGGTATCCCACCAGTCTCAGCTTGCCACTTGGAAAAAATATTTACTTCCGTCCTCTCTTTCCCATTTGCCAACCAATAGTGATCATTCATGGTTTGAATGAAAAATAACCTGACACTAGGGTCCATTAGTGATCAAAAAGGATTTTCTCATAGATAAACATCATCCTTACTGGTTGTGAATGTTTCAGTGGATTTTGTAGTTTCACCGAGTGTTGTTGGCATTGCTATCATACGTGATTTGCAGCAAACACGAATTTTGTAGTCATCACAAACTTTCCGTGGAGAACTTTTAGAGACTTTACACACCAGTCCTAGATCCTTTTCACAAAACACTATGTCTGCTGATTCACTTAGTGGCTTCTCAGGGTAATCAACATATTGACACTGAATGTCACCAACATCTTCAGGGTGAGGACACAACTTATCTTTTATATAGGACAAAAGTTCCACATCTTTTGGTTTGGAAATTGTTGGTGTATTTTGATTAAACCAGGGAGACCATACACCATGGCAGATTGGCTCTGTAACTGAAAAATGGATGATATATGAGACCTTCCTGTAGCAAACATGAAAATGTAAAACTAAAGTAACATTGCAACTTTTACATAATTTAATAGGGCTTCAAAGATTTCTTCCCTAATGTTTCAAGCAAAGTAGAAATGGGCAGAACATTTATTATTGCACCATGTTCAGACAAAATGCAAATTGTAAGTTTCAGCAGAACGACGGAGTGAATTGTGTAAAAAAAAAATGCTGATACATAAAGAGAAACAAACCCCTCAATGTCGAGAAGGGCAGAATCAAAAAGGGTGAATCATCCTACATGTTAAAACTGTTGTCATTCCTATCCAAAATCTGACAACAGTGACACATCAGACCATATCCTTCAAATTCATCAAGCTTAAAAAACAGCACAAATCTTATCTTTAAGTTATCCATGATTGGGCTTGGAATGTAGAAGGCCAGCCAAAAGTCAATATTCCAACAACTCTGTAATGTATTGACCTTTTAGCTTTAAACCAAACATACTTCAAGAAGACATGAGATGAAGTAAAGCCAAAATTCTGTGTGAACGGTTTATACTATAGAGCACAGAGACTGTCTTGGTGGAAGACATCAAGTGTTTGCTTTTAGCTGTCATTCTATCATATCAATTATTTCCCGTCAGAAAACAACGTCAGGACCCATGATGTAATATGCACAGTCAACAAATAAGATGTTCACAAACAGAAATGGAGATCTTCTCCCGAGTTGATACCTTATTTATTTCCACAAGGATGGATCGATGTATATGACAACTTCATTCTCCATTAACAACAACTCACTTTACTTGCTCTAATTTCCACAGCAAATTGCTCTTGACAAAGAGAAAACTATTACTCACCCCTACTCTGAGTAACTGGACTACTAGTCATGGGCATCTCTCTGCCTAGACTTAACAATTTACAGCAAAGAACATGATCAATAGTACAGAATTCTGAAGTTGCACTCTGTTGACTACATACATTGATGTGAAGTGCACTTTATTTACCAATAGAGATGGTCCAGGAGAAACAGGTGTATCTACCACTGTAGCTAGTGCACGTGCTAAATAGCAGAGGAAAATTATGGAGTTTTAATGCAGGTTCTGAAAAAAAAATTTTCATACTCTGATAAGGAGATGAACAATACACACCACCAATGGTGATTTATGAAGTGCTTGATCTTCTTGTTGCTGCTTGTTGATGTTAACTCTAATTAGCATGGAAAAGCAAAGAAACTATTAATTCACTGCAGGCTGGAATGCTCACTCTGATATTTTTAAATTATATTTTTATTCATTTCTCAATATTTCTATTTTCTTACACTATATAAGTGAAGATTTTCAACTGCACTGAGTTCTCGGTTAGAGGTACATCAATGGTTTTGCTCCCACACATATTTCGACTCATAATACATCCATATCAATGCTCGTGTTGATGTACTTTTGCACTAAGTGACCTTCGCTTTGGCTCTCTGGAATCATTTCAAGGTTGCGAACTCCACCTTCTTGTCATCCCTGTTTTCCATTACCATGTTTACTTTCAAGCTTTGGCCTTCACTCAGCAAGAAGTTGCAACATGGCTTTTCTTTGGTAGCTAATGCATTTGACATTTCTATATTGACATGTTTGGGTCAAGTGATTGCAGGTGTACTGTCCTTGCAAGGCAGACAAGAATTAACACCAGTGTTCCCTACTGAACACCACAAAAGACAGTTCAGGTGTAAAAGTTCAGGAGGCCCTGACAATAACCAGACATAGTGAAAAATGTAGCAGTTAAAACTCTCAAAGCAGAAAAAAAATCAACATTTTCTACTTGAGCAGAATATCACATCCCTGCTCCAAGTACCTAACCTTTCAATATTTTACCACGCAGGACTATTAGATTCCAAAAGTAATTCAAGTCCTTAATCAATCTGGTCATGTTTGACTATCAATTATCTTTGTCTGAATTGTTGCTCCAATTCATGTACTTACCAATTCCTTGATTGCAAATGCAAAAACAATTGATTGGTAACAACCAGACTTGAAAAGGTTTGTGCCAGTTTCATGTGGGAACACCAACATAGCACAGTAATATAATGCATCACATTTCCTGTATACCGTTATCTTCTGTGCTCTATAGTACCTGAGATTGCTCAGCACATGGATGCACCATATTGCCATATCATTATGCTGCACTTACTGAAGCAAGGTTGTAAGGAAAAGCCAAGGAACTTTAGGCCAGTGAGGCTGACATCAGTAGCGGGCAAGTCATTGGAGCGGATTCTACAGGACTCGGTTTACATACATTTGGAAAGGCAAGGACTGATTAGGAATAGACAACATAACTTTGTGTACGGGAAATCATGTCACACTAACTTGAATGAGTTTTTGAAGAGGTGACAAAGAAGATTGATGAAGACAGAGCAGCAGACATTGTCTATCCGGACTTCAGCAAGGCGTTCAACAAGGTTCCACATGGTAGACTGGTTAACAAGATTAGATCACATGGAATTGAGGGGGAGCTAGCCAACTGGATACAAAATTGACTTGAAGGTCAAAGGCAGAGGGTGGTTTGAAGAGTTGTTTTTCAGACTAGAGGCCTTGACCAGCCGTGTGCTGCAAGGATCGGTGCTGGGTCCACTGCCTTTCATCATTTTTATAAATGATTTGGACGTGAATACAGGAGGTATGGTTAGTAAGTTTGCAGATGACACCAAAATTGGAGGCATATTGGACAATGAAGAAAGTTATCTCGGGGTACAACAGGACCTTGATCAGACGGGTGAATGGGCTGAGGAGTGGCAGGTGGAGTTTGATTTAGATAAATGAGAGGTGGTGCATTTTGGTAAGGCAAACCGGGGCAGGATTTCTACAATTAATGGTGGCACCTTGCCAAACAAGGAGACCTAAGAGTGCAGGTTCATAGCTCCTTGAAAGTGAAGTCGCAGGTAGACATGGTGGTGAAGGTGGTGTTTGGCACGCTTGCCTTCATTGGTCAGTGCATTGACTATAGGATAAAAACTGAAAGAACTGCAGATGCTGGAAATTAGAAACAAAAACAGAAATTGCTGGAAAAGCTCAGCAGGTCTGACAGCATTTGTGGAGAGAAATAAGAGTTAACGTTTCAGGTTCAGTAACCCTTTTTCAGAACTAGGATATTGAGCACAGCAGAAGGGACGTCTTGTTGTGGCTGGACAGGACATCAGATAAGCCACTTTTCGAACACTGCATTCAATTTTGGTCTTCCTGCTATAGGAAAGATGTCGTTCAACTTGAGAGAGTTCAGAAAAGATTTACAAGGATGTTGCTGGGATTGGAGAGTTTGAGTTATAGGCAGATAATGAGTAGGCTACGGCCTTTTTCTTTGGAGCGTCAGAGGCTGAGGGGTGACCTTATAGAGATTTATAAGATCATCCGGGGCATGGATAAGATGAATAGCCAAGTTCTTTCTACCAGGGTAGGGGAGTCTAAAACTAGAGGACATAGGTTTAAGGTGTGAGGGACAAGATTTAAAAGGGACCTCAGGGGCAACATTTTCATGCAGAGGGCGGTGCCTGTTTGGAATGAGCTGCCAGAAGTGGTGGAGGAGCCACGTACAATATAAACATTTAAAAGGCATCTGGATGGGTAAATGAATAGGAAAGCTTTAGACGGATATGGGCCAAATTTTGGCAAATGGGACTAGGTCAGTTTGGGATATCTAGTTGGCACGGATGAGTTCAACTGAAGGGTCTGTTTTTGTGCTGTATGACTCAATGACTCTATGACTGTGACAGAACACAGATCAGTACAGTATTGTGTGCATGCAGTTAATTTAGAATATCTGTACAGCTGCCATTGATCTATTTTTGGTTGTGGAAACCAATATTTTCTTCATATTTCTTCATTTTCACTGATCATTCACAGCCCAGAGGCAAGGGAGTTTAGACCGGCCATGAAAACCAGTTGAAACTCAATCACCAGGAGGTATATGAAGGTACCCCTCCTTAAAACAGCACTTTCCACATATGGCATCCAACCAGTCTGTATTCAATTCCAAATTTTGCCTCAATCTGCTACTTCACCTAAAACTTTCCAATATATTGAACAAAGAAACACAAGAATGTAGAAACAAAGAAACGAGGAGCAGAAGTAGGCTATTCAGCCCTTCATATCTGCTCTGCCATTTAATATGATCATGGCTGGTCCATGATCTCAATGCCATATTTTTAATTTCTTTCCATTCCCCTTGATGCCTTTAAAATTTAAAAAAATCATTTGTCACTTTCTTGAATGCATTCAGTCAATAGGCTACCACGGCCTTCTGTGATAGAGAATTCCATGGGTTCACTATCCTTTGAGGCAAGAAATCTTTCCTTAACTGTGGTAAATAGTCTACACCATATCCTGAGATTGTGCATTCTCCCGGTTCCAGACTCCCCAGTTGGAAAGACAGAATCCCCGTAGCTAGCCTGTCTAGTCCTGTTCTGAGATGTTTCTACACACTTCTGGAATAGGTGGGACTTGAAACCCAGGCATCCTATCTCATAGGTAGGGAGACTAACACTGCACTTGTTAGTATTTTATATGGTAATCAGATCCCCTCACATCCTTCCAAACTCTAGTGAATAAATGCACAGGAAAATAAATCTATCCTCCTAGGACAGACCTGCCATCACCGGTACCAGTCTTGAAAAACCCATGACGCATGTCCTTTATGCGAACTATATCCTCTCCTATGTAGGGAAACTAAAACTACACAGAATACTCCAGGCATGGTCTCAGAAAGGCCCCATGTAACTACAGTAAGACATCCATACTCACCAACTCAAATCTATTTGCAATGAAGGCCATCATTCCATTTGTATCCCTAATTATTTGCTGTTCCTGCCTGTCTCCTTTCATTGACTGGTGTGCAAGGACATCCAGATCCCTTTGTCCATCCACACTTCCCAACGTATCACCACAAACCATATTCTTTCTTTCTGTTTATCACACAGAATTGTACAACTTTCACACCGAAGTGTATAACCTCACAGTCAGGCATGCTGTACTGCAATGGCCATGTATTTGCCCACTCACTTAACTTGTCTACATCACTTTGAACTCTCTTTGCAACCTTGTCACAACTCTCAATCCGGCACACAACTGTATCACCAGCAAACTTGGAAATGCTGCATTTGGTTCCCTCATCCAGGTAATTTGTACATATATGAATCAGCTAGCTCACTGTCTGAACAGCCAGATTGTGTTGCAGAGCACTGCCAACAAAGTTGGTTCAATTCCTGCACTGGATGAGGTTACCTCTCCCATCATCTGAGGCATGGTGATTCTCAGGTTAAATCACCACCAATTGTCTCTCTCTAATGAGACAGCAGTCCAATGCTTCAGTAGGATGATGTTGATTTTACCTTTGTGGCAATGCAAATCTCACAACTTTAATAACTTCATGGACTGAAAGAATCAGTAATAACACTTTATGGTATAAATTGTTTTTTGAGATGAAATGGACAAGGAGAAACTATTATACAGGAATTAAAAGCAACATGTGAATTAACCATCCCTGGAAAGAAGCAATATAAACGAGCTGTTTCCGAAGAGAGATGTAACAACATTGCTTCATAACTGATGCCTCATAACAAAAGGGCAATTAAGATTGCCTACAGATGGAATGTCCTGAAGTGAAGGGGTTAATTGCAGGAAAAGCGGTGTTTTCAAACAGACAGTGAAGGGTGAATGTTAACAATGAACTATTTCTGATGAGAAGGTAAGATACAGACTTGAGGTCTCCAGAAGTGTAATTAACATTGGAGATGAAAGGATCTATTGAATTGTCAATTATGACACCCACAAATTTGAAAGAGTGAAAATTGTTAAGAATCCAACATAAGAACAATTCAACAGCAGAACTTTAAAGTACAACACACACAAGGATCAAACTCTTGGCACTTCCAGAGATGGACACTGTTGCTTGGAATCGTAGCTATGTTCCACCATTAATGAGGCAATTGATTAGTTGAGTTGCAAGGCTTGACTTGATTACTTGACGGGTCTTGTTTTGGTTGCTACATGCAATAAAGTTGAAATCATTGTTACAGTACATGATTATTTGTGATATTTCTTAATAAGGTAACTTGTGATGATATACCCACAACATTTTTTTTTAACTTTATACCATGAATAATTGGGCTGAAACATTGATCCCTGTGGTATTCCACTTGTCATTGCTGCCCACTTGGAGAAAATATTTATTTCCACTCTCTGTTTCCTGTCTGTCAACCAATTTTGATCATTCATTGTTTGAGTGAAAAATAACTTGACACTGGTATCAATTAGACAAATTCATTGAAAAATATCTTCATATATATTAGCATTATATTTACCAGATGGAGTTATTTCACTGGACTTTGTAGTTCCACTGAGTGTTATCGGTGCTGTTAGCATTTTTGATTTACAGCAAACGCGAATTTTGTAGTCATCACAAAATTTCCGTGAAGAACCTTTAGAGACTTTACACACCAGTCCTAGATCATTTTCACAAATCACATTGTCTGTTGATTCACTTAGTGGATTCTCAGGGTAATCAACATATTGGCACTGAATGTCTCCAACATCTTCAGGGTGAGGACAGAACTTTCTTTATAGGGAACAGAAGTTCCACATCTTTTGGTTTGGAAATTGTTGGAGTATTTTGATTAAACCAAGGAGACCACTTACCGTGGCAGACTGGCTCTGTAACTGAAAAATGGACGATATAGGAGACCCTCATGAACATTTATTTCCATTCTCTGTTTTCTGTCTGTCAACTAATATTGATCATTCATTTATTGAGTGAAAAATAACTTGAAATCAGTGTAAATTAGCCAAATTGATTGAAAAATATCTTCTCATATAAGAACATCATCCTTACCCGATGGAGTTACTTCACTGGACTTTGTAGTTCCACTGAGTGTTGTCGGCACTGTTCTCACAGGAGATTTGCAACAAACTCGAATTTCATAGTCATCACAGAATTTCCGTGAAGTACTTTTAGAGACTTTACACACCAGTCCTAGATCATTCTCACAAACCACATCGTCTGCTGATTCATTTATTGGCTTCTCAGGGTAATCAACAAATCGACACTGAATGTCTCCAACATCTTCAGGGTGAGGACACAACTTATCCATTATAGGGAACAGAAGTTCCACATCTTTTGATTTGGAAATTGTTGGTGTATTTTGATTAAACCAGGGAGACCATTCACCGTGGCAAAAAGGCTCTGTATCAGAAATAAGAACCATGTAGGAGACCCTCATGAATTAAATATGAAAAGATAAACATAAAGTAGCAAGGCAACATTTATCAAATTTAATTATGCTTCCAAGAGTTCTTTCCAAATACTTCAAACAAAGTAGAAATGGGCAGAGCTTTTATCATCATACCATGTTCAGTAGAGAAACAGATTGTATGTTTCAGCAGAAAGACAGACTGAATTATGCAAAAAATATATCATTCACATTGATGTATAAGCAGAAACAAACTTCTGAATGTCTAGAAGGGTAGAATCACAGAGGGTGGAAAATTGCTGAAGTGGGCAGCAAACTTTGTGAGTCAGTTAATATGGACATCTAACTTTTTAATGAAAACTCCATGTCCCTTGGCACTCATCCAAATCCAGTCCTTGGGAGATTGGCTGCTGAAGGCTGCAGCTGGGGATGTTTGGCGATGGTGCTCAAGGTTCTGGAACAGTAACTAATCTCACAACCTTCTGAAGTGAGAGCATAACCTGGGAACCTCCGCTTTCGTTGACCAAGAGTTTAAGCTGTAACTGCAATCTTGTGTGAAAGAAATGAAAGAAAACCTCACTCACCAGTGGGTGGACTAACTGTAGTAGCTGTAGCTGTTTCTTCTGAAGTAAAACAAATACATTCACAATCAGTACACCACTGAGAGAATTTCGGCATTTGTCAGCCAGTCACACACAATTTAAAAAGAATACTCAAACTGATATATGTTTTGCTTTGATATATGTTCTAGGATACACACTCAATTGCATGAATAATTACCCTCCATAGAAATGATCGATCCACCAAGATTTTTAAGTTCCTTAGATTTGGGAAAATTAATTAAGATTAATTCCATTTTTGAACTACGTCTTAATGAACTTTTTTCAATGGTTCAAATATTTACAATTTCCCTCTGATATGAATAGTCTAATTTGCATTAAGAATAAAGGAAATGACTGAAAGAGTCATGGAGTCATACAGCACAGAAATAGACCCTTTGGTCCAAACAGTCCTTGCCGACCAAATTTCCCAAACTAAACTAATCCCATTTGCCTGCATTTGGCCCATATCCCTCTAAATCTTTCATATCCATGTACCTGTCTAAATATCTTTTAAATGTTGCAACTGTACCTGCATCTACCACATCCTTTGACAGTTCATTCCACAAGTGAGCAACCCTCTAGATTGCCCCTCAGGCCCCTTTTAAATCTTTCTCCTCTCACCTTAAAAACATGCCCCTAGCTTTGAACTCCTCAACACTAGGGAAAAGACCTTTTCTATTCACCTTATCAATGCCCCTCATGACTTTATAAACCTCTATTGATCATCCTTCAACCTCCTACACTCCAGTGCAAAAAATCCCAGCTTGTCCAGCCTCTTCTTTTTACTCAAACCCTCCAGACCCGGTAACATGCTTTAAAATCTTTTCTACACCCTCTCCAATTTAATAATATCATTCCTATAGCAAGGCGACCATAACTGTACACAGTACTCCAAAAGTGGCCTCACCAACTTCCTCTACAACTGCAACACGATGTCCCAACTCCTAACCTCAATGGTCTGAGCAATGATAGCAAGCGTGCCAAACACATCCTTTACCACACTGTCTACCTATAATGTAACTTTCAAGGAACCATGCACCTGAACCCCTAAGTCTCTGTTCTACAACACACCCCAGGGTCCTATCATTAACTGTGTAAGTCCTGCCCAAAACGCTACACCTCGCATTTATCCAAATTAAACTCCATCTGCCACTTCTCCGCCCATTGGCCCAGTTGATCAAGATGGCTTTGTAATCTTAAACAGCCTTTATCACTGTCTACTAGATATGTATTCTGCAAACTTACTAACCATGCTTCCAATATTCTCATCCAAATTGTTTATATAAATGACAAACAACAGAGGATCCAGCACCAATCCCTGCAGAACACCGCTGGTCACAGGCCTCCAGTCCAAAAAACAACCCTCCACCACATCCCTGTCTCTGACTGTCAAGCCAATTTTGTATCCAATTGGCAAGCTCTCTTCGAATCCCATGTGATCTAACTTTACTAACAAGTCTACAGTGCAGAATCTTGTGAACGGCCTTACTACAGTCCATGTAGACAATGTCTCCCGCTCTGCCCTCATCTATCTTCTTCATCAAATCCTCAAAATGCTGAAGTAAGTTTGTGAGATATGATCTCCCACGCACAAAGCCATGCTGACCATTCCTAATCTGTCCTTGCCTCTTCAAATGCATGTAAATTCTGTCCCTCTGAATCCCTTCCAACAACATACCCACCACTGATATCAAACTCACTGATCTGTAGTTCTCAGGCTTCCCCTTGCAGCTTTTCTTAAACAAAGGCACAACGTTAACCACCTTCCAGTCTTCCAGAGCCTCACCCATGGCTGTAGATCATACAAATATTTCTGCTAGTGGCCCTGTAACTTCTTCCTTCGGTTCCCACAATGTCGTAGCACTTCCTCTTCTGTAATGTGAACACTTTTCAAGACTTCAATATTTATTTTCCCGAGTTCCCTAGCTTCCATGTCTTTCTCCACAGTAAATGCAGAGGCAAAATATTCGTTGAGCATCTCACCCATCTCCTGTGGTTCCACACATAGACAACCTTGTTGATCTTTAAGGGGCCCTATTCTCTCCCTAGTTGCTCTTTTGCCCTTAATATACTTGTAGAATCTCTTTGGATTATCCTTAACCTTATCTGCCAAGACTATCTCATATTCCCTTTTTGTCCACCTGATTTCCTTCTTAAGAATGCCCTTACTATCCCTATTCTCTTCAAGAGATTCACTTGGTCCCAGTATCTATACCTGACATATGCCTCCTTCTTATTCTTGACCAGAGCCTTAATATCTCTATTCATCCATTATTCTCTATTCCTAGCAGCCTTATTCTTCACTCTAATAGGAACATATTGCCTCTGAACTCTCATTATCTCACTTTTGAAGGCTTCCCACTTGCCAATTGTTTCTTTATCCATGAACAGTCTACTCGAATCAACTTTTGGACATTCCTCTCTCATACCATCAAAATTGAACTTACTCCAATTTAGAACTTTAATTTTTATACAAGGCCTATCCTGTTCCATAACAATTTTAAAATTAATAAAATTACGGGGAGCTAAAGTTGTAATCGGAGCTAAGATCTTACTATTAAGTATTGCAAGATACCATCACTCACCAGTCATGGAGCCAATGGTAGAGCCAGTTATGGTGATGGCACTGTTGTAATTGTCCCTTCCGAATCATGTTAACGGCATTCAAAAATGCAATCTCTAATTCAATTGCTCTTGTATAATTACACCACAAGGCAAGGTGACGTATATTGAGCAGGAAACATTATTTAATGATGCAAGAGGAAATTTATATTACAAGCCCAAAACAATAATGGGCCAAGAGTTAAGAATGAGATAGTAATGGATCTTTACTGAGCAGGAGCAGATGCTCTAACAGAACACTTGTGTGAAATGATTTGTTAATGCATGATGAAAGAAGGCAGGGCTCACCAAATGCGGAAATGGTTATCACAGTTGGCATTGATGTTGTAGCTAGCTTTTCTGTAGAAAAACAAAACATTCATGACCACTATATTCAAAATGAATCAACAACATGTTAAGAATTTTGTCACATTTCACCATATACACAAAACCATTTTAAACTATTATTACAAACAGCCAATCATGTTGTAATCTGTCATAATACATAAGAATATAAGAAATAGCAGTACAACTCTCAACCATGCATTTCCATTCAATAAGATCACCGTGATCTGATTTTGGCCTTAAGTTTCCTGTCAGTCACTAACCCACCCCCACAACCCTTGATTGTTTTCTTAGATCAAAACTCTTTCTTCCTTAGTTTTGAATATATTCAATGACCCAGTCTCCATTGTTCTCTACTGTGAATGCAAAAGATCACCAAGACTTTGAATGAAGACATTTTTCCTCATCTCCATCCAAAAAGGGAAGTATCTTGCTATGAAATTCTGCTTTCTTGTTTTGGATTCCCCTACAAGGCAAAACATCCTCTCAGCATTAACCCTGTCAAGAGACAAAAAAACTGCCAACAAACGTGGCTACAACACATTTGATCAATGGATGGTCACTTAAGGCCTTGTGCCAATACCATGGTCAGAGAGCCTATGTGTATGAGGCCTGCTCTTGAGTAAGTGGGAGTGTTTCTAGGATTCTCATACCAGCCTCCAAAACTCCTCACGGGGGCCTGCCAACTTGACCTAATGCCCTGGGCTCACCTGACATCATCAGGATGGCAGAATGCCTTGTATTCCCAACAATAGCCACCAGTCCAGGTGACGCTACTAGAACAACAGAACTGTCAGCCATCCAAGGCTCTGGCAATTCTCTAAGAATGGGTTACCTCCTAACAGAGGGGCAGAACACTTAACACCGCTCCCTGCATTATATGGCTCTGGGCAGGCAATTTTATGTGCAGGCTACCCCTTCCAGATCTTTAGCCAGACAGGAACTACAATGCAATTTTAAACCAAATTTAGAGAGTTCATTCTGCATATCTTAATCCAAGACTTCATTGACATGTAAAATACAGAGGGCACATCAAAAACACAAAGAATATTTAGAGCAGAAAATCATATCTGTCTAAAGCCACGAGAAGAGAAGGAAAGTCATGTAAAGCTGGAGTTTCCTGATTGACTACAGACACTGATATCAAAATGAAACAGAGAAAGTAAATCTATGATGAACATCATACTTATAAATTGAGAACACAAACATTCAGCCCTTTAAACTTGTTGCACCATTCAATGAGTTCACGGCTGACCTGTAATATTATTTCATCCACATGCTTTGGCTTCATTTCCTTAATAAATTGCCCTCTTTGGATGGAATATAGTATACCTCCATTGTCATCACATCATAAGGTAGGACTTGAATCCAGACTTTCTGACCCAGAGTTAGGGACACCTCTACTGTGCCACAAAACCCTCTTGCTTCATTTCATTTTATGCACTTGTCTCACTAAAATCTGTCCTTACTGAATCAACATACAGGTAATCTATCTTAAACAATTATGTTGCGAGATCTGCAGTTAAGCCTTTAAAGATTATCTACTATATCATATTCAGATCAGATTTTCCTGAACATAGTTAGCACTTCTTTTGCTCATCGAGTAGAATGAAAACTGATTGATTCATCAATAACAATACCACTATGCATCATTGAAAGTGCTACTTACCGCAGGTGGTGGTTCCATTTTGACATGTGCTGTAAGAGATTAAATAATAAAATTAAATTATTTTATATTCATTGTGGGGAATATATGTCATTATCAAAATGGTCTTCATTTTGATTATAATTTATATTCATTCTAGTTACATATATTTGCTTCTGATACATCAATTTAAGTTTGGTGAACAGCATTCCGTGGTGAATTCAGTCTTGGAGGCACTGAAGATTCATTAAGATTCAATACTACTAGTTGTTCAGTAAGTTTGCAAACAAGACAAAAATTGGTGGCGTGTTAGATAGTGAGGAGGATAGCCTTATAGTACAGGAGGATAGCTGGGCTCGTCATATGGGCTGATCAGTGACAAATGGAATTCAATCCTGATACATTTGAGGTGATGCACTTGGGCAGGACAAACAAGGTAAGGAAATACATGACGAATGGTAGGAGCCTGGGAAGCACCAAGGATCAGAGAAACCTTGGTGTGCATAGCCACCAATCCCTTAAGATATCAAGACAGATAGAAAAAGAGATTAAGGAGGCAAATGGTATACTTGTCTTTATTAGTCGAAACATAGAGATTAAGAGCAAGAAGTTATGCTGGAACTGTACAATATGTTGGCTGGCCAACAGCAAGAGCATTGTGCGCAGTTCTGGAATCCACATTATAGTGATTGCACTAGAGATGGTTCAGAGGAGATTTACCAGGATGTTGCCTGGGCTGGACGGTTTCAGTTATGAAAAGAGATTGGACAGACTGGGGTTATTTTCCTGAGAGCAGAAGAAACTGAGAGGGAACATGATTGTGACGTATAAAATTATGAGGGGCATAGATAGACCAGACAGGAAGAAACTTTTCTCCTTGATGGAGGGATCAATGAGCAGGGGCATGGATTTAAGGGCCAAAGGTTTAGACAAGAAGTGAGGAAAAGTATTTTTACCCAGAGGGTAGTGGGAATCAGGAACTCACTGCCTGTAAGGATGGTAGAGGCAAAGTCCTCATAAGATTCAGGAAGTATTTAGATGTGCACTTGCAATGCCAAGGCATTCAAAGCTACTGGCCAAATGCCGGAAAATGGGATTAGAATAGTTCAGTGGTTGTTTCTGACTGGTACAGACACCATAAGTCAAAGGGCTTTTATCTGTGCTGTAGATCACTTTGACTCTACTTGTACTTTTGAGAAGCATTTCAGATGATCCACATAGCTCAACTCAATTTCTGATCTTTATGATTGGAAGCGTTACAATTAGGGTACAAGGAATTGTAATTTATTGTAATGCTGCTGAACAGTTTACATTCCTAATCCTTGAAACAGTGAAGATGTATGAACTTTTAACAAATCATAGCACGCGTGTAACAGAATCATACAGCACGGAAACAGATCCTTCAGTCCAACTATTCCACGCTAACCACGTTCCCAAACCAAATTAGTCCCACTTGCCTGCATTTGGCCCACATCCCTCCATACCTTTCCTATTCATGTAGTTATCCAAATGTCTTTTAAATGCTGTAACATTACCAGCACCCATCACTTCCTCTGGCAGTTCATTTGACATATGAACCACACTATGGGTAAATAAGTTGCTCCTCATGCCCTTTATAAATCTTTCTCCTCTCACCTTATAAATGTGCCCCCTAGTTTTGAACTCCCTCACTCTAGGGAAAAGACTCTCACAATTCACCTTATCTATGCACCTCATGATTTTATAAACCATTATAAGGTCATCCCTCAACCTCCTGTGTCACTAATGTATTTGCTCTTGAATGATTGTGCAAAACAATGAAATGGGCCAAGAATGATAAGTGTGAAGTGAGCCCAAATGAATCATGTCGAGAGTGAGAAACTTGATCCCATTCTACTTAAAACAAATACAATGTATGGGATAATGTTCTCTCATGGCATTTCACAAGACTAGAAGATTGATACAAAGGAATTAATCTTCAATTAATGAGCAAAACATTCCCTACAAAGTTACAACTGCCAAGAGACTTTGGCAAAGAAATGGTGTAATCATGCAAACCCATTAGTCTGAATAATAGAATAAAATATTGCAGCAGATTACAGAAAATCATAAGTTACAACCAACCTTGAGAAATGAAAGCTGACTTTAAGAGTCCACTTTCAGTTGGAGAGACTTGGGGATTAACATATAATCCATTTCAGATGGGTGAGTTGAGAATTTGGTACAATTTCTCAGAATACAGAACATAATTTCAATGATCATTAGAGCTGGACCAAAGTTAGTCAGCAGAACAACAGCCCTTTGGGAGCCGTGCATCAATTTCATGTCCATAGAAGCCTATGATCTCATAGGAATATAGGAACAACAGTAGCGTTTTTGGCCCCTTGAGCCTGCTCCACCATTCAAGAAGATCATGGCTGATCTGTGGCCTAATTCCATATACCTGCCTTTGACCCAAAAGCCTTAACACTTTTGCTTAACAAAAATTATCTATCACAGGTTTGAAATTAACAATTGCTTCAACATCCACTGTTGTTTGTGGAAAAGAGTTCCAAACATCTACAGCCTTCTAGGTGTAGAAGTGTTTCCTAACATCTCACCTGAATGGTCTGGCCCTAATTCTCAACCTATGCCCCCTAGTTCTAAAATTCCCAACCAGTGTTCAAATTCACACGGGCATCAAACCCCGAAAACCATCACCAGAGCTTTCTAATTGTAAATTTTAATAGAGATATCTTTCATAACTGAATCATTTAAAAGTCAGCTTTAGAAAGTTTGGCAAGGTTCCACTTTATTGAGTGAAGCTGATGAGCAATTAATCACTGACAAATAATTAAACACAAGGTTCAAAACCAGGAATTAGAGAGTTGTCATTAATGGGAAATTTATAGGTCCGAAAACGATTTATTATGACACTTTCTATTTTTTATCCATATAATGGCATAGTCCAGAAGAAGGAATTGTTCCAGGTTTACAGAGGATATCAGAAACAGAAGGAAGGATAAATAATGAGGAACGATAAATCTGATATCAGCAGAATAAGAAATCACAGAGATAAATGTAAAAACATAGAATAGTAAAGAATGGGTCAGGAGACTGGAGAGTGGCATAAGAGATCTAATCATTCATTGGATGTGGGCATCACTGGCAAAGCCAACATTTATACAACTGCAGCCCATGTAGTGAGGGTATTCCCTATGATTTGAGTCCAGAAGCAGGCATGTCTTACTGCAGTCATACAAAGTTTTAGTAAGACTGTACTTGAAGTATTGCGTGCAGCTTTGGCCTCCAAACAAAACAGAAGAATACTTGCTGTACAGGGAGGGCAACAAAGGGTGATGCTTTGAAAGGCAGGATTGTTGGATGAGGAGATTGGTTCAACTAGGCCTAATATATTCATTAAAGTTTAAAAGAATGAGCACGGATCTGATCGAAACTTACAAAATTCTAATAGGTCTAGACTGCCTAGGTACAGAGAGGATGTTTTCCCTGGTTGGGCAGTGTGAAACAATCCTACGATGCAATGTAGGCCATTCAGGATTGAGGTGAGGAGACATTTCTTCGCTCAGATGTGGCCAACTGTGGAATTTGTTAGCGCAGTAGGCTGTGGTGGCTGAATCATTGAGTGTATTCAAGAAGGAGATTAATAAATGTCTAGGTATTAAAAGCATCAAAGGCAATGGAGAGAAAATGGGAATTAAGGCAGAGGGTCAGCCATGATCATATTGAATGGTGATGCAGGCTCAAAGATTCAAATGGCCTACTCCTGTTACTATGTTTATAATTTAAATGACAATCACATGTGACTAGCACAATGAGCACTTGAGATTACAAGTTTATTTCAGATATGAGCTGATAAAATACATGACGCAATTGATGAGATGTAATTGTATCATGGTGGCAGCTGTTTCCACAAACAACCATATTTATCGCCTCCTACATGCGCATTTTGCAACACTAAGCCACTTATACATGAGGCTATCTGTAGTCCACAAAACTGAATCTGAACCAAAGGTCTTTCAAGAATCATTTTAAAGATTCTGCAATGTCAAAGCATAGGTTGGTAATTCCCAATGATAAAAGTCTATTGGTGTAGTTTTTAATGTTTAGTTTTAGAAATTGTTCCCACTGCTTAATTAATTGTGATCTGTAATAAAAGCATAGTTGAGGCAGATTCAATAATATCCTTGAAAAAGGAAATGGATTATTACTTGAAAAGAAACGATTTGCAGTGCTATGGGGAAAAAGCAGAGAAGTCGGACTAGCTAAGTTACTCTTAGAGAGCTGAAATGGACTTGATAGGCTGATGGTTTTCTTCGTTGCTGTAATCATTCCATGATCTTATTTCTCCCTGACCACAGCAACCTGGTACCGTGGCAGTCAGGTCTTCTCAGACAGGAAAATAGGCGCTGCTGTGTCGGACAAAATAAAAACCATCTCTGAGAGCTAACATTGAATAATTCTTAGAAACCACCTAAATAGTGTTTAATAACTGCTGCATTAAAAGAGTCAAACAAGCTATCTGATTTTATTGACCCAGTAGACAGGAAACGTCAAACAGGGTTGTACTATTGCTTCACAAGTTGTTAGTCAGGCTTTAGTCATTGTCTTGCTTGGAAATTTGCATGTGGAAAATGTTACCAGGAGAGATCATTAAAGTGACCATTAAAGGTGGCATTTGAAGCATACAAGTTGAGATATTTTCTAACCAATTTGTTCACATGTGTTACTGTACATCTCTAGAGCAGGCAGAATTTGACCTCAGGCTCAGAGGTGAGGACACATATACTGCACCACAAGAACCCTAGCATAATATTCCATTATCGAGTGATTGATTATGTGCATCTGGTAATTGTTAACTCATCTCTGCCCTAATAGTCAAATCTGCCTTTGGTTACTAAGAGAGAAAGAGACTAAATTTACAGAAGCAGCTACAATTTGTTGTAAGATAACAAGGTGTAGAAGAGCTGGATGAACGCAGCAGGCCAAGCAGCATCAGAGGAGCAGGAAGGCTGACGTTTCGCGCCTAGACCCTTCTTCAGAAAACATTTTAAAGCATTAATTTACACTCCTGTTCAAACATTGAAACTGGTGTCAACTGCTTATCTCAGAGGTATAAAATATAATATGAAACACTTTGTTGAATATGTTATCACGCAAACCAATGGTGTAAATTGGTTCAGCAGACAAATAGATATGGTTCTAAGGAAGATGTTGAGGAATATACTTAGAATAATGAGGTGGGAGGAGACAGTGGGCAAGAAGTTGTGTCTGTGGGTTAATTATCCAGAATCCTGGACTAAAGGTTTGGGAGCATGCGTTCAAACCCCACAATGCCAGCAGGTAGAATTTAAATTTAATTAATAAGCTTCAGGAATTGAAAGCTAAAATTCAGAAATGGTGACCATGAAACCAGTAATTGTTTGAAAATTCATCTGGTTCGTTAACATACTTTAGTGATGTAAACCTGCCACACTTAGCTAGTCTGACCTATATATGACTCCAGCCCTGGAGCAATGCAGTTTCATCTTAACTACCTCAGTTCATGGGTGGTTAGGGATGGGCAACAAATGCTGGCCTTGCCAGTGATGACCACATCCCATGAAAGAATACAGAAAAATCAAATGTTGAATGGTGTACATAAAAAGAATAGGTTCATTCGGAATATTGGCATTTTCTAGTTACTGCAAGTTGTATTATAATTTTGTTTCAACATGAAGTATTTTGAGAGATGAACAAACAAGTAAATTATAGAGAATGAATAGTGGAGTAATTTTTGAAACTTTACCATTGTCCACAATCTGTAACTTTCACCTCATTTGGTTGTATTAACAGACCATTGAAATAACAAGTACACTGGGGTAAGTTAACACATTTCATTGTATTTTCATCCAGATAAGGAGCATTTTCTGGGCATTTTGCATAGCAACCTGTACATTAAAATAAAATATGTAATTAGTGTAAGACAGTAAGCATAAATAAGCTCGTGAAGCAAAAATATGCTGGCTTTTTGTAAGTATTATGTTCTTATAAACTTATTATTTTTCCCTAATTTTACCCATACACTGACATGAAATTTCATGGAACATCTTCAAGACTGGCCATACTTTCAATGTCCAGAAGTTAATGTTTCGGGTCCAGTGACCCTTCCCCAGTTCTGAGGAAGGGTCACCGGACCCGAAAAGTTAACTCTGTTTTTTCCTTTACAGATGCTGCCAGACCTGCTGGGCTTTTCCAGCAACTTTGCTTTGATTCCGGATTTACAGCATCCGTAGTTCTTTCGGTTTTTATTCAATGACCAGAGTTCAGGCCGCTTTCATTTTGTGCAAATGAGTACACTGCACACTCATCATGATCCACCCTTTTGTACCCACCCTGAAAATGCCAAATGGTGCCCTACCACTGAACTAGAATGCCAATTTTTCTAAGTAAGCAGTCTGTCTTCTGAAACAAGAATCACTACTGTTCACCCCATTTAGAGTACAAAGTAGGCTTTGGGCATCAGTGAAGAGGCCAATGTACCCATCCCACAATTTTCAATTGTTATGTCAAGCTGTAACCATTTGGTTTTCAAGCAACGGTTGCAAATCAGCTCCATTCCATTCATAAAGTGTAAATTATTTGAAGAGTGGAATGACATTTTGGCTCCTTACTAAGAAGGATTAATTTGTCTCATTTTGCCAATGAAAGGGAACAAATAACAGACTGAGAAATGTGGGAAGATGCTAATTCTTAGCTGCCGATAATCAACCTGCTCAGATGTGTTACTGTACACTTCTGGTGCAGGTGGGGCTTGATCTCAAGCCCGGAGGTAGAGAAACTTATACTGCACCACAAGAACCCTAAGCGTAATGTTCCATTACTGAGTGTTTGATTATGTGCGTCTGATAATTGTTAATTATTCTCTACCCTATTAGTCAAATATGGCTGTGGTTACCAAGAGAGAAAGAGGCTAAATTTGCAGAAGCAGCTACAATTTTTACTCTGGGCATCTAAATATAATAGATGCTCAATAATGCAAAAGAAAATTCAGGGATAAACTTCTTTTACCAGAGAGTGATCAGAATATGAAAGTCATTGTCACAAGATTGAATTAAGATGCATTCAAGGGCAGGAAGAAAGGAAAAGTAAGTTATGTTCATAGGGTTACATGAAGAGGGTTGAGAAGAGGTTTATGTGGAGCAAAATCATTGGCATGGACTAGTTGGATCAAGTAGTCTATTTCTGTGTTGTGCATTCTGGTCTGGTTGGGCATTAGTGGTTCCTAGTTTTGCCCATGCAAACACGGAGAGAATGCACAAACTCCACGCGGTCTTTGTCCCAAGCCTGGAATCAAACCCAGGTCCCTGGTGCAGTGTGGCAGCAATGCTAATCACTGTAATACTATTCAGCCCTTGTTTCAGAACTGCTGCTAAATATACTCAAAAAGTAAGCTGCGTATGTGGATTAGTAATTACCTAACTCAAATACTAATTCAAGTAAATATTTTACATACTTAAGAGACAGTAACAAATGACTACTTCTGATGTAAACAGAAATGCAAACAATCCATTACATGGATGATTTGTTGGCCTCCTTTATAGCTTTTATGTTTCATCTCTGAGGTGCAATGCAAGATCTTTGTGGCCAACTGTTCAATGTCCTTTTGTTATCCCCATAGTTTTCACACTAGCTGTTGCCCCAAACTAACCTTTTGCAGATCTATTAAAGGTCGATTAGTTGATTCAAGCATCCTAAAGGCTTACACCATAAGCATACTCTAATGTGAAAAAATACGTACATATTTAAGTTCACCATACATAGGCTGAACAAAGCTTTTCACCCAACCTTCCCATTCACAACATTTGATCACATTGGACTACCTCAATATGATGAAATTATCTATTAATTTGTGTACACTAACATGCACACTGTTCAAATGTAGCAGCAACCTGTGGAGGCTGAGGAAGCAGAAACTGAGGTTTTGTTTTTAAATTATAAGCAGATAGGCAATTGAGCGCATGTGTGCAGCCAACAGTGGTCAGCACTTAAATTGGCCAGCTGATTAGCCGAAACTGCCTTTTCTCCATTGATCAGTCATCCACAATGAACCAATGTGCCTTTTGGTCAGGCTTTCCTGTAATTTCCTGAAATAAGCCAATTCCTCTCATCTGCTGCTAACAGTTAAATATCCTTCAGCCACCCAAAAGCTACCATTTCACAGAATTGTTAACACCTTCACTGACAGTGCAATTGTTTCCCACTAGTTTCTGCATCTTAGGTTTTGAAATAGTTGACAGTATAAAGATAATATGCTGCATTCACTTCCAACTTTGGATTATAGAACTAATTTTCTCATATAAACTTAAAGCAAGATTTGTTGTCTCGTTATTACTACAAAGCCACTATGTATGGCCTTAAATGAATTTATGTTCTTACTAAGACTGAAATAAGTTTTAAAGAAATAACACTGAGCTATATCACATAAAGCTGAACCAAAAACTTAGGAGAACAATAAATTGAAACCTTCAAGAAATGTCGAGTATTGTCTGCCAATAGGATGGTTATTACACGTTTTTGAAATTGCTGATCCACATGGTTTGTAGTGCCAGTTGCATTCATCACCTTCATTATAATAGTCACAGTAGATAGCTGCAATACACAAGACAAATAATTCTTGTATTTCATTATACTTGTACTTAAATACCTCCTGCAGGGAAGGAATTTCTTTCAGATGAGTTTCATAATTAGTTTTGTGAGCAATTCAAAGTACATGCATCTTTTTTCATTAACAATGTCCTTAATTGTGTTACATGGGGTAAATGTTACTTACGGCATGACTCTGGGGTCCTCCAGTCAATGCAAGCACCAACTTTACTACAAGCTTCAGCATATACGGCCACAGCAGTACAAAAGCCCAGAAATCTCCCTTCCAAGTCACAGGCACAAGTTTCATCAACACAAGCAGAGTAGTATTCACTTGGGTCAACCTAATGGGTATGTTAAATCATAGTGTCAGAAAGCATATGATCTGTTTGTAACAGGTCATATCTCTATATTTTAAAGTTTTGTCCATATAACTAAATATTGACATTTTATTGATACTTACCAATTTGTGGCACTTTTTAAAAGTTTTGCTCATAATTATGTTGCATTTCCTTGCAGCCCATGCATAACAATATGGATTTCTGTCACAAGGAGAAATTAATATTGCTTTCTCAGAGCATGTTTTTGGAGAAGACCAACTTTGTGCAAAATCCAGAGTATCGGTCACCAAAGATTTTGACTTTGTCATTAGATCATCTTCAATACGGGAATTATAATTTCCACAGAGGCCAAATACTTTATTCTGTAATAATTTTTTTGAAACAATTAAGATATGATTAATGGAGAACAGCAACATTTTTATTGCATACATCTCCCCAGGATAAATTCATTTCTGAGCGTGCCCAATCATTTAATATTTGTTCGAAAAACCATACAACTACAATAATCAGAATTGAAATAGTAAAATATCTTAAAGTTAGCATCAAATGAAGAAATTTTTTGGTTCAGTTTTCCCATTTCTCTTGTTGCTAAGATTTTTCATTCATCTTTAAAGTTTATTTCCATGCTGGAAATATTTTTTAGCTCTCACTGCGCGTTCTTAACCATCCCCTCTTCTTTACCTCTCAACAAGTACTAATGTCTGTTTTAAAAAAACAGTATTGCTGAAAAATAGTATTGGTGTGAAAGCAATACTTCTGCTCTTGGTTAGTATAATGGTAATAAACTGTCAAATATATGCAGCAAGGTCTTGTAATTGAAACCCCAATTTTAAAAGATTGCAACAGTCAAATCAAAATAGGACTCAAGATTGCAGTAGCCAAAACCAAAGCAGTATTCCAATAAAATAAAATATAATGGACCCGATTTTAATTCATTCAAAACGCACTAACTTGCACAGGGTTAAAATTGGGTCCAATCTATTCATTTTGATTTACATTTAGTTTTAGTAATTGAGTTTCACGTACAGGGAACAGTCAAAGAAAATCCAAAAATTGCTACTCATTTGCAAGAGCAAATTAAAAGCTTTGCTTAAAAGTAACAAATATAGGGACCTGATTCAAATCAAACTGTATACCACAATATGATTAGACATTTGTCTAATAAAATATGATCTTTAAAAGGTGAATTTACACATATGCTAAAGTTTGCGCAAATTTACAGTTTAATTATCACAAAGGAATTTCTCGATAGGCCCAAATTCAGGCTTAAACCACTTTCAGAAGCCCTAGCTTCATTTTATAAGGGAAAGACATCTATAAAATCAGTCTCAGATCAATGGCTGGATTTTCCTTCGTTATCTTGCCTCAGAACAAGTGGTGCACCAGGTGTAACTGAAGGAATAAAGGACTATATGGCAGTAAAGGGCCTGGCTGCGATTCTCCACCGAAATAAACCTGGCAACATTTTCCATTCAAGGAAACTGCCACTAACTGAGTTCCTGGCACTGTTGCCATCTCATCTTATAAAAATAATGGTAGTTTGCATGACCCCACTACTTCTTTTAAGTATTGGTCTCAACAATCAATATGATAACAAATGTAGGTTTAAAAGTGCAGTGTCCCAGAGTAGGAAGGCAGAATGGATACCAGAGGTTCATGCAGTGTTGTAAGACTGCTAATATTTTGAAAATCAAGCAAGAAAGATGATCTTTGGAACCATTTTGTATCTCAAGCACTTCATGTAGTATGTACTGAAAATATTTAAAAGATTCTGGGGGAAGGAATGGACTTCTCTTTGGAAATACCTTTACTATGAGCAGGATGTGAAAAAAGGTAGGGTTAGAAAGTAGATAGAAATAGTGAGATCGTAAAAAAATCAGGCGACAAAACTCTACTCAACAATTTTTATTAGACAAGATATACTGACCTCATGAGGTCATAAATTGTATTTTTAACAAAGCGAGGTGTCAGAAAACTACACTCATCCCATCCCCCAAAGATAATAGAGATTTATGTTAACAAAAACAAATTTCTCTATCATAAACAAAACAGAAATTGCTGTACAAACTCAGCAGATCTGGCAGCATCCGTGGAGAGAAAACAGTTAATGTTTCAGCGCCAGTAACCCTTCTTCAAAATGCTCTATGGTGCAGAATACTCTCTCTCCATGGTCGCTGAAATAAATACAGCCTTGAGCCTATCTAATTCTCACCCCTACTAGACACCTTGTGCTGACCTCAATTATGAACATAAGAAATAGGAATAGGAGTAGGCCATTCAGCCCTTCAAGACCTTTAAACCATTTGAGTAGATCATCGTTAATCTACTCTCTCAGTGCCATTTTCCCATATTATCCCTTCAGCATTTGATACATAGAATTCTGTCAATCTCTTTCCTGAATATATTCAATATCAGCCTCACAGCTCTATGGGAGTAGAAAATTCCAAAAAAACCACAACCTTCTTAGAAAAGAAATAAGTTCTCAATGTCAGTGCTAAACGTTCTACTTCTTACTCTGAGACTATGTCCCCTTGTTCTCTGACATCCACCACCACCATTCAGGAAAAACATCACTCTTGCAGCTACCCCGTCAAGACCTGTAAGAATGTTGCATGCTTCAAATTGCATTAATCTAGATGCATGGGTTCATCAGAAAGGTTCATCAGATAGTATGAACATATGAGAATTCTAATGTTTTGCCTTCTTGTGCACTATGTCAAACAAAAACAATTAGCATTGAAGTTTTGTGCAGAACAGCAACCAACCCACCACCCCAGATAAATATTTACTGTTGGAGGTAATCATTCAAGTCTCAGGAGAGTATGCCACTTCAATTTGGTTTACAGGGCAGTTTTAATTCTGATAATCTGAAGTAGGTATTATGTGAAATTGCCAGCCACCTAGGATGCTGCTATAATGCAGTTTATCCATTGACAATTAACAGTACTTGCAGAAACCACTCAGGTCAATTGATCTGAGACTAGTGACATCCATCTAGCTCTGGCTCATCACAACTTTCTGGCATCCAAGCCACTATTACAGAACAAGTATAATGAAAATGTTACAATTGAATTGTTACAGAATAAAACCCATTTGTGGCCTGCTCCAGTACTTCTCCTACAACTTATAGTTCCTTTGTAGCTAATGTCAGTATACTTTCTCACCTCACTTAATCAATCAATTAACAGTTATCTCAGTGAAGTTGCTATTCATTAAGAGACACACTGAGGAATCATTAATAGTCAAAAGTCCTTCTATTATTAACATATTCCCAGCAGAGGTCTTCTGCAGCTCCAGACTGGTACAACATTTAGCTTCATTGAAGTGTCTGTAGACATTCCATGGTTAAAATGTGTTTTGTTATTTTCCTTGTATTTTTGTGACAATATTTTCTGATGAATAATATTGGTTAAGGTATGTCAGTTTCTCAAAACCAACTAAGGCCTTCACTCTAATCATGGTTAATTTTATTTTTGCAAATACTGACACAGACAGGAAAATAAATGAAGCACACTTACTTGCCACCTTGGAGTCAGCGATACTGAAAATCTGGTGTTTTTATCCCACATCACTGTCATCCCATTGGCAAATTCAAGGACTAAATAGAATCCAACCATGTGCATTGTATATATATTTTCTATGCATTGGACTTCATTGGAAGATAAAGTTTGTACTTTACCATCAATTAGCTTTAGTTCTAAATCCTACATGTTGGCAGAAAAGAAATTGCATTTAAACAATCAGTGCTATAAGTCTGCCCCATTTTTTGAGCCCAAAGCTTGCAATTCTCATTGTCATTCTATCAAGCTGGTATCATTGGAAGTTGGCTGCCTACAGATTACAGCTGCCACCTCATTTCCATGATGATAGGCCAAAGCTGTGGGGCTTCTTCATTGCTGGATGTCTCTAAACATAGCCAGGTGGGTCTGCACCTATCAGGGGACCAACCATGAAGAGAATCAGCATTGTGCTGTTGGCACGTGATGCAGGCATTCGGCTTTGGTTAAAGACAGAATGTCCTTCTTAAAGGAAAATCATGCTGAATAAGTTTGCAGGAATTTAAAGCGTAGAAATTTGAGCTCCAGGATGACAAATACATTAGTGGTGAGCAAAAGGAGAATCACAATGAGCCAGATTTATTGCATCCAATCATTGTAGGTAACATTGTAGGCAGTCCCATCTAGTCATTGGAAAAGTCACTCATCAGTCTCCTGGTAGCAGGGAGACATCCCATAATTCAGTTGAAGACAAGGAACAGCTCACTGGGAATATGGCACACCCGACTTAAGATGTCAATTAGGCTTGTTGACACTTCTTGAGGCATCAGAACTTTCTAATGACTCAGAGATTAAAAGTGAGTGGCATGGATTTCCTGTGTCTCCCAAGCTCTCTTATCTGCCACAGTATCAACATTTGACACCACCTATTGCATCATTACTTACCCAGCTGGATTCTCTGGCAGGAACCACAGCGCACATCCAGATAGCCCGCACTAATGTTTCACATTTCCCAGCAGCCTCATACTCAGCTCTTACTATACTATCATATGCCTCCAGTAATTCAGCTATGGTACACACATCACCCAAAAAACAGCTTCTTACATTCTTCCCTCGCTTTCTGGCAGGGCAAAGTGGAACATAGTAGAAGGAAGCAGAACAGGTCCAATAGGGAACAAAGGAATCTTGAATCTGACAAAGGTGACAGCTTCATAGCTCATGATATCTGGCATGACTGAAAATATTGAAGAAGATGCTGTTTTCCTACATTATTCTCCTTCTTATCATACACCTCACCTGCATCCTGCTCTTGGGTGCTTTTGGATGGAGTTATTTTTCAATACTTAATAACTTTGTCTTTTAGAATGGCACTCTCAAATCAGTCTATGATTGTAATTCACTTAGGTCTTACTATCAAAGTTAAAGTGAGCCCCAAAATTTTACAGTGTAACCATGACCCTATCCCTTAACACCCCAATACCCTCCCTCAAATTAACATTTTGACTTTCTCAATTCAGAAACCCAAAAACTACTGCTCACCACGCACAGGAACCTCAGAAGTATATGAGGGAACAACAGTACAGCAATGTTGAAGAGGCCGTGTCATTTAATCTGACACTCAGCTAATAGCTCAGATATTTGCACTTCATGTATCTTGGAGGCAAGTATAAATTTTGAATCGGTATATGATGAGCCCATGGACAACAAAGTGGCAACCGATCCAGGGACAAAGGTTGATTCATTTGTCAGTTCACTCGACAGCAAGGTTGCAGACAGTTGTGACAGAGTGCGATTGGACATGCACACTCAGATACCTAATGCATTGGCTCGCCGGTCTGACAGCCTCATGTCATTGTTAAAGTGCATGGAGGATTTCAACTCCAGTTCACCAAAGGGAATCAAGCAGAACTTTCACTTATCAAATTAGGAATCCTCGCATTGCATCACCCATATGGGTTAAATGTCGGAATAACACTACTTCACTGACTTCCAGTGCATACTGGAGATGTTATGCACATGCCCTTTTCAAGGCTGTGCCTTATCAGTTTTTGGTGACAGTGCTACTGAGATGAAATTCACACCCATATTTCAATACATTTGGATGTTAAACGCAACTACTTCATAATTATAAATCAAACCACGCACCTTAAGTAAAATTTTGATCACTCTTGAGCATGTCACACCCCTTTCACAACAAGCTACACTCTCAACTAATATTTTAAATGCACCAACTTCCTCCAATGAGGTCTGAAAATTAAAATAAACATGAAGATTAGTATAATATTATTCATTAGTATTAGAATAAAATTAGAAAATACTAGAAATACTCACCAAGTCAGACAGCAAAATAAAATTAACATTTCAGGTTGATGATATTTCATCACTTTTGGAAAAAGTCAAAGATACAGCAGTCTTTATACAAGTACAGCCGCAGGGAAGGAGGAAAGGAAAGAAAGAACGAAAGGAGAGAACTGTGCTAGGGTGAAGTGCAGAAGGCATTAAATGGATAAAAGGATAACAGAGCAAGGCAGAGAAAAAGAGATGGCACAAAGGAACAAGCAACAAATGGAAAATTGATCCGGGGAAATGTAAATGTGAACCATTAATAACAGATGCTCCTGAAAAAAATGGGAGCAATGGTTACAATGTGAAATTGTTGAAGTCCAGTGTTAATTTGGGAAAGGTTTTAAACTTGACAAAAGGATGAGGTATTGTTCCTTGAGGATCAATTGATCTTCATTAGAACAGTGTAGAAGATCATAGGCAGAAAGAACAGAGTGCAAATGGAATGTACCACTCTGTAACACTTGGTTCAACAATTTCAGACCAATGACAGACATTCAGAGATTAGGTTTCACCTGAGAAAAAATGTGTTGACAATTGCTATCAAAGAAGAATCTTTGTCCATCAAATGTTTCAAAGCTGCCATCTCCATAAACTAAGCAAGTCTTTGAACAGTGATTTTTAGAGCAATCCCATGATCCACCCTTGCATGTACTAGAATAGAAAGAATGCAATGTTACAATATTGTATAATGTCGCTCAGATGTTGATGCATTATTTTATTTGTTATTTGTATTTAAGTTTAGCCTCACCAATTGTTACATTTCTGGTGGATTACAGCTCCAGGTTTAAAATAGACATCACCATATAAACAAGAGCATTCTTCACGATAAATGCAGTTTCCATTTTCATCTTCAACTTGACCATTCGGACAGATACAAGCAGGAACACATTTACTTGGCTTTAAGGAGATGAAGGGCAATACTTTACATACATGTATACATGTGAATTAGAAGTATGCTATTTAGCCCCTCAATTCTGCTCTACAATGCAATATAATAATGGATAATCTGTTTGTGCTTTGATTTCCATGCTCCCATTCACCCCAAAAAACTTTGATTCCTTTGTACAAAAAGAATCTAACTACCATCAACTTAAAAATATTAAATGCAACTTCACCTTCACTGCCTTCCAAGGCATAGTGTTCTGAAGCTGCACAAGCCTCTGAGATATCAAAGTATCATAGAATCCCCATAGTGTGGAAGCAGGCCATTTGGCCCAACAAATCCACACTGACCCGCCAAATGACCTCCCACCCGGACCCACACCTCTCCTTTATCCCTGTAACTCTGCATTTCCCATAGCTAATCCACATAGCCTGTACATCCCTGGATACAATGGACAATTTAGCACAGGCAATTTAACTAATCTGTACATCTTTGGAGTGTGGGAGGAAACCACAGCACCCGGGAGAAACCTACACAGACACAGGCAGAATGTGCAAACTCCACACAGACAATCCCTGAGGATGAGAAAAAAATAAATTCTCCTGATCTCTGTCCTGAATGGGTATCCGCTCACGTTAAAACAGTTGCCCCAGGTTCTGGACTTAAGCAAAAGAAGAAACATCCTTTCCACGTCCATCTTGTCAAGACTATTCAGGATTTTATATACTTCAATAAAGTCTCTTCTTGTTTTTCTGAACTTGAGTGAAAACAAGCCTGCTCAAACTTTCCTCATAACACAACCTGCTCGGTTCAGCTATCAATCTAGCACTGTTGGAAGTGGAGTCTCTTTGCAAGTCAAATTGTACACAAGTCAGAAGACAATGCAGGACAATGGAAAGCAGTTCTTTGTAAGTACAGGAAATATTCATTTGCTGAGTATTTAAAATTATAACCATGTATGGAATCACATTTGTAACTATGAATATTCAGAAATAGGACTTTCGTAATTTGGGGACCTCCTATAAACCTTCTCTGAACCACCTTCAACATTTACATCCTTCCTGAAATAAGGAGACCAAAATTGTGCACAGTAGTTGAGATGTGGTCTCAACAATATCCTGTACAACTGAAGCACAATATCCTCACTTTTATGTTCAATTCCTCTCACACTAATGGATAGCATTTTGAACATTGTAGGAAACTTAGTGCCGGAAAGAGGTGAAAACTTGATTTGAAAATTTTTGTTAGACAAATGATATCTTTATTTTAGGCTGAGTCAATATTGATTAATAAAAATGTTCCTGCAGTATGGTTACCAAAGATTCTAAGTAGCTGTATGATGTAAAAACCGTTGTTTTCCAGCACCAGGGAAGCTGAAATATAAGATCTAAAACTTATTTTTGATGTATTTTTATGAATCAATCTGGTTGCTGTAGGTTTAAAATAACCTTGTCATAATCTTAATGGCTGCACGGTGATACAGGATCATCTAGCTTTGACAATGCCAGAGTTCATCAGGATTAGTAAGAAGGTATCTACTGACCATTGAGTTGGCACAAGCACCATTTCTTTGTCCTGAAAAACCACCTAGGAATGGTTTCAAAGAACACTGACCTATTATATGGGCCCAACCCATTGAAGTGGATCTTACAACATTCTGGCCTCCATCAATATCTGAATTCCTACCCAGACTAAGGAATACAAAATTGCCTCAGGATTCACACTCAATGCTGACCTTGTATGGACAGCTCGTTGTATAGTGACATAAGAACAGGAGTAGAATATTCAACCCCAGAAGCAATGCTCTGCCATGCAATTAGAATGTGATTTATCTGAATATCAACTCAATTTCTCCATTTTTGATTTATATATTTTAAAATCCTTACCTAACAAACATTTATTAACCTCAGTCTTGACAATCCAATTAACCCATTATCTGCATCCTTCTTTTTGCATTCTGTCACCTAAGAGATTTATCTCTATCCTCTCAATAGAACCTCAACTAGATCACTGCTTAACCTTCAAAATTCAAGAAAATACAAATTAGTTTTATGTAATCTGTCCTCATTAATTAAATCTAGCCAAAACAGGCAATAGTAAAACTATATATGCCACTGACAAAACAAGAGTATTTAAATGAATCTTTTTCTGTAAATCCCAAATTAGTTGTTTAAAAAATACTTATGCCCCTTCGATCTACAGTAAAAGTTACTATTTAGTACAATTGAAGGTTACTTACACATGGCACATTTAAATTTTGACATGACTTTACACACTGATTATTATTTTCAGTACAGTTCAAAAATAGTTTTCCTTGGCAATCTGAAAAAAACAGAATGCAATAAAATTGGAGTGAAAATAAGCTTCTTTTACCGTACTAACAATTTTGAAAGAAATTAAAGAAAACAGATTACCTATTTTGGGAGTGCTCAATTTTTGGTCAGCACAGCTGAGACTTCCACTTTTACAATAGCTGAATAAAGGAAAACATTAGTTCCATTTTATATTTGCTCAAGTATTGATACTTAATTTATTTGAATGCAGCAAAACAACTTACCAAATGGTACCTTGAATAGCTGTACCGTGGCCATGTTTAATAATCGTATCACCAATTTTACATGGACAGCTGAATCTGTCCACACAGTCCCCAAAGTCATCTAGGTACAATCCTTCAGGACAGCCACAACCACTGACAAGGACATCTTCAATATCACAGGTAAAATCGTGCTCTACTAATGACCTACAGGTCTGATTGCAGGCTTTCATACCATACAGGAACTCATTAGTTTCAGGACAATTTACTCCTATAAACAAATATACATACATCAGTCATGGAATTGTAACAAAAGTATTTCATTGAAGTTGATCCAAATAAACACACATCTTAATAAAGTGATTGTCTCTGTAGACAGTAAAATATGAGATTGATGCTTTGAAGTGAAGCATAATTTTTTTGACTAAGTAATGCATTTATTCATAACTGCTTTTGCAAATGACTGATTGAAACTTGAACTACTTTTATCAATTTTAAAATATTCAAATGCAAACTGATTTTTCAGAGGATGTTTTGCACTTCAAATACTATTGAGATTTTAACTTATTCAAAACCCACCACTTTCAGAGAGTTAAGCAGTTTCTTAAAAATTTAAGTATAATTGGATGCATTTAGTCTTGCCTGCACTGCAGGCAACAAGTTAAAATCATAAACAACTGAAATGTGCAGTCAAACACAGAAGAGGTCCCAAAGTTAGTTAGCTGTTTTTTTTAGGGCTTCAGAAGAGTGAGAATAATCATCTGGACCCACTCCCACCCTAATTGCTCCTCCAGGCAACATAAAGGGAATATTAAAAGTTTAGATCTTCACCACACCAGATATCTTTGTTCTTTTTCCCTTTTTGTAGAACTCCCCAGGTGACTTATCCAAGTTTCAGGTCTATTCCTATCTCTGGCAATGTCACTCATGCTATTTCAACGAATTGTGAATGGGAATTAAGCCACTTGGCCTTTGCAAATGAAATATAGGAGTCACATTCTCTAGGGCCCTCTAGGGCCTCCTTTTGGCCTAGCCAGGATGATCTGTTGCTGACTTAGGCCCTGCCTCAGTTGAATAATACTTTTCAGATTATGTATCAACATGTATTTTATACTTGTATTTATAATCACTTCATAACATTGCTGATTTACAAATACAAATGAGATAACTTACTGCATATATCTTTTCTCCAGTTAACCACAATTATACCTCTTGCAGCACACTCATGAGCATATCCTTCAAATGCTGCACAGATACAGTCATCAATGTTCTGGCAGGTGCATGCGGCATCTACGCACATCTGAGGAAATGGGCATAGTCAAGGGAGCTTTTTTTATTGCAAAGTTTTATAAACTGTGTGGTCACACCATTTATTCAAATTCAAATACACATAAGAACATTACAATGTTAAATTATACTAATGATCTAGCTTGGCCTTTCAAACATATATATAAAAAATCTGTGATGGATCCTATGGCTCAGGAATCAGTAACAAGGGAAATAATTGCAATTAAGACAATGAAGAAGGGAAGTTAGGTGATTTATTTTGTTTTTTCTCCGTGTTCGTTGTAAGAAAATAGAACACTATTATATTCAGTTATTGAGGCAGACCCTGTTAATGCATAAGACCATAACAAATAGGAACAGGAGGAAGCTGTTTGGCCCCTTGAGTCTACTGCATCTTTCAATAGGATCGTGGCCGATTCAACATTCCTCACATCGACTTTCCTGGCATTACCCCATAACCCTTGATTCTCCTATTGATCAGTAATCTCTCCACCTCAGCCTTAAATTTACACAAGAACTCTGCCCCAACAGCTCTCTGTAGCAGGAAGTTCCAAAACTAACAAACCTCAAGGATGAAATTCCTCCTCGTTTTAATCTTAAATTCATACCACTTTATTTGCTATATGGTCCTAGACACTCCCATGAGGGGAAACATCCTCTCAGCAGTCAAGCCCTTAAGAATTCTATATGTTTCACAAGATCACCTCTCATTCTTCTAAACTCCGGTGATTAGAGTCCAAACCTGGTTAAACTTTGCTCATAAAACAATCCTTCCATACCAGGGATTATCTCAGTGAACCTTCTCTGAACTGCCTCCAAAGAAATTATATATATTCTTAAATAAGGGGACCAAAACAACTTACAGACTCCAGATGTGGTCTCACCAGCACCTTATACAGTTGATCTCCCCACTTTTATACTGGAAAGTCCTTGAAATAAGACCCAAAGTTCCATCAGTATTCCTAATTACCTGCTGCACCTGTGTGCTGGCTTCCCCTAGTTTCATGCACAAGTACCCCCAAGTACCTCTATGTTGCAGCTTTCTATAGTTTCTCTCTATTTAAATAATCATATGTTCTTTTGTTCTCCTTTCCAAAATGAACAACTTTGCATTTTCCCACATTATACTCAATTTGTTAACTTTTTACCTATTTATTTAACCCATCAATATCTCTCTGTAAACTGTATCCCTCTCAAAATTTACCTTTCCATTTATTCTAGTGTTGTCTGCAACTTTGGCTACAGTACATTCAATTCCTTTCACCAAGTCATTAATATCTTCTGTAACCAATTGCAGTCCCAGCTCTGATCCCTGTGGAACTCCAGTGGTCACAGGTCACCAAACTGAAAAAAAAGCCCTTACTGCCTGTTGTTGTTTCCTGCCCATGAGGAATTCTCTATCTATGTCAATATACTGCCTCATTGTGGGCTTTTATTTTATAACTTAACCTTTTGTGAGGTACTTTGCCAAATGTTTTCTATAAGTCCATATACAATGCATTTACTGGTTCCCCTCTATCCACTCTGGTTGAGACTGCCTCAAAAAGTTCTATGCTGAATTTACTTGATTAAATTATGATATTTCCAATGTTCTGCTATTACTTCCTTAATAATTGATTCCAATATCTTTCTAACAATAGATGTTAGGCTAATTAGCCTATAGTTACCTACTTTTTGCCTTCCTCCATTTTTGAATAGGAATGTCACATTAGCAGTGCAATGCAACTGACAGATAATTGGAAAAGAAAGGAAATGAAGAAATATGAAGTACAATTATAGTAGACATTGATTCTGTAACAATATCAGATATGAAAAACAATGTTATGATCATGGAAAATGTCCAATTTCGAAAATTTGATAAATGTAGTTGTGTTTCAGAGATGGCAATTGTGAAATCAGAATTCTGATTGCAATCTTAGACATGGATATGTTGAGCTTCAGTGAATGAGTCTGAGAAAAGTGTTAAGTGGACTCAGAAAGTGCAATATTTGCCTTTATTTATTGATTCAATAAAGTGTTTGCCAAAAACCTACGTCAAAACTCTTTCCTGCTGCTCTTGTGTGTTCATGCTTCTCCTATTCCTGTTGTTACTTATGGACATGGAAACATGAATTAACCATTCAGTTCCTCCTTCTTGTTTCACCATTCAATTATATCATAATGGAACTTCATTCACCCACCTTTGCTCCATCTTCTTATCTAATAAAAAACTACTGTTTGAATCATTAAATTTTCTGTTGACTCAGCATCCTTTTGGGTGGAAGAGACCCTGATTTTCATTCCATTTATGTGAACAAGTATTTCATTTGTTGTTTGTTCTGCTTGGTATAACTCCATTTGTGCCTCACTTTCCAACTCAAGAGTATTAGTAGCCTGTCTAAATGAGTCCCTGGTTGCCCTCCCAAGTGGATACACAAGGTAATATGGCAATATTTGAAGAAAAGCGTTGGAAAAGGTGCAGAGGAGATTTACCAGGATGCTGCCTGGACTGGAGGGAAGGTCTTACGAGGAAAGGTTGAGAGAGCTCCGGCTTTTCTCTTTAGAACGACGAAGGATGAGAGCTGACTTGATAGAGGTGTACAAAATGATCAGAGGTATAGATAGAGTGGACAGCCAGAGACTTTTTCCTAGGGTGGAGGTGTTTATAATGAGGGGGCATAGTTTTAAAGAGAATGAAGATAGATATAAGGGAGACGTCAGAGGTAGGTTCTTTACTGAGAGAGTGGTAGGGGTGTGGAATGCATTACCGGAGAGGGTAGTGGAGTCGGCCTCATTAGGGGCATTTAAGCAGCTATTAGATAGGCATATGGATGATAGTATAAGGTAGGGGTGGAGGTTAGATAGACCTTAGGTTTAGGGTAAAAGCTCGGCACAACATCGTGCGCCAAAGGGCCTGTAGTGTGCTGTACTGTTCTATGTTCTAAAAGCAGGCGTGTCCTCTCAGTGATTTGGTCAACATCCTACATCCCTAAAACAGATTATCTGGTCACTATTATATGTCTGTCTGTGGGATCTGCTGCACACTGTCTGTCTGCCTCCTTTCTACATTACAGCAGGTGAATACGATTCAAAAGAAAAACACATTTATTTGGTAGTGAAATGCTTCAGCAGGACTTGAGGTAAGAAAAGGCGTTATTTAAACCCAACCTTTCTCTCTTTAAAATCTTTTCTGTGGAACATAATCATAAAGGATGGACCTTGAGACAAAATCTTCAAATCTACTGGGGCTAAACAGCAAATACCATGATGCCCCAAACTTTAGAATTGAACAGTTAACATACTAAAAGCGTGCTTTATAATGAATATGAAAAGGTTTTTAGCCCTCTGATCCTGCTATACCATACAATGAGATCCAGTTGATTTGTACCCTAACACCATCTACCCACATTGGCTCCATAATTCCAATACACTTGGGTAGCAACACAACAATCTCAGATGTAAAATTATTAAATGAACGACAGATTCTCCACTTCCACTATTCCTCTGACTCTGATTATAAGTTTACGTCACTTGTGTTAGACCCTTTTTTCCCTTGGCAGAAATAGTTTCTGTATCCAGTCATTTCAAATTCCTAAAAATCTCAATTGATTTGTTATATTTCTTCTATATTCCAAGGAATACAAGCCGAATTTATTTTAATCTCATTCATTATTCATAGCCATAATCTAATTCATAACTTTTGCAGCCTGGCAACATTTTGGCGAAATTGTGGTGCTGTCCTTCCAAGGTTAATATATCCTTCCAAATGCAGTGCCCAGAGATTATCTCCAGATGTAATCTAGCTAAACTTTTGTGTAGCTGGAGCAAAGCTTCCTCCCCTGCATATTCTCATTAGAAAGTGTCAACACTCAATTAATAAAAACAGAAAGAGCTTAACAAACTCACCATACCTGACAGCATCTGTGCAGAAATAACAAAGATCACCTTTTGAGTCCAATCTGACTCTTCTCTAAGTCACTTCAGATTCAAAATGGTAATTCTGTTTTCCACCCTCCACAGATGCTGAATTTCTTCAGCAATTTTAATTTCAGATCTCCAGCATCCAAAGTATTTTGGTTTATTAACATTCCATTAGTCTTTTCGATTACCGTTTATAACTGGCTGCTGTATTTTTATGTTCTAATTATATGGATCCCTCAACCTCTTTTGACTTCTACAGCTGCATCTTTTCACCATGTTAAAAAATTGAATCCAGGTGGATAAATCTCCAGGACCTGATCAGGAGTACCCATGAACTCTGTGGGAAGTGAGGGAAGAGATTGCTGGGCCCTTTACTGAGATATTTGTATCATCGATAGCCACTGTCGAGGTGGGAAGACTGGAGATTGGCTAACGTGGTGCCATTGTTTAAGAAAGGTGCTAAGGAAGAGCCAGGGAACTATAAACTGCTGAGTCTGGCATCGGTGGTGGGCAAGTTGTCGGAGGGAATCCTGAGGGATAGGATTTACATGTGTTTGGAAAGGCAAGGACTGATTAGGGATAGTCAACATGGCTTTCTGCTTGTGAAATTGTGTCTCATTAACATGATTGAGTCTTTTAAAGAAGAAACAAAGAGGATTGATGAGGGCAGAGCAGTGGATGTGTTCAATATGGACTTCAGTAAGGTTTTTAACAAGGTTCCTCATGGTAGATTGGTTAGCAAGTTTAGATTACATGGTGTAGAGAGAGAACTAGCTATTTGGGTACAGAACTGGCTCAAAGGTGGAAGACAGAGAGTGGTGGTAGAGGTTTGCTTTTCAGACTGGAGGCCTGTGACCAGCGGTGTGCCACAAGGATCGGTGCTGGGTCCACTGCTTTTTGTCATTTATATACATGATTTAGATGTGATCATAGGAGATATGGTTACTAGGTTTGCAGATAACACTAAAATTGGAGGTGTAGTGGACAGCAAAGAGGGTTACCTCAGAGTACAATGGGACCTTGATCAGATGGGCCAAAGGGCCATAGTAGCAGGTGGAGTTTAATTTAGATAGATGTAAGGTGCTGTATTTTGGAAAGGCAAATCTGGGCAAGACTTATACACTTAATGGTAAGGTCCTAGGGAGTGTTGCTGAATAAAGAGACCTTGGAGTGCAGGTTCATAGCTCCTTGAAAGTGAAGTCACAGGTAGATAGGATAGGGAATAAGGCATTTAGTGTGCTTGCCTTTATTGGTCAGTGCATTGAGTATAGAAGTTGGGATGTCATGTTGGTGCTGTATGGGACGTTGCTTTGGCCACTTTTGGAGTATTGAATTCAATTCTGGTCTCCCTCCTATAGGAAAGATGTTGTGAAACTATAAAGGATTCAGAAAAGATCTACAAAGGATGTTGCCAGAGTTGGAGGGTTGAGCTATAGGGAGAGGCTGAGTACGCTGGGTCAATTTTCCCTGGAGCATCAGAGGCTGAGGGGTGACCTTATAGAGGTTTATAAAATCATGAGGGGCATGGATAGTGTAAATAGGCAAGGTCTTTTCCCTGGGTGGAGGAGTTCAAAACTAGATGGCAAGGTGAGAGGGGAAAGATATAAAAGAAACCTAAGAGGCAAATTTTTCATGCAGAGGGTGGTGCATATATGAAATAAGCTGCCACAGGAAGTGGTGGAGGCTGGTATGATTACAACATTTAAAAGGTATTTGGATGGGTATATGAATAGGAAGGGTTTAGAGGGATATGGGCCAAATGCTGGCAAATGGGATTAGATTTATATTGGATATCTGGTCAGCGTGGATGAGTTGGAGCAAAGGGTCTGTTCCAATGCTATATATCTCTATGACTCTAAGACTCTACCATTTTCTAGAGTAAAATGGGTGACTTCACACTTATGTGTGTTGATATCCATTTCCCACAGTATTGCCTGTTTATCAATGCTTCTTTGAAATTATATGTTTTTTTTATCCCTTTATGATACCAATCTTTTGAGTTGTTGGCAAATTTGGGAACTCTGCTGTGTTAACTAAGCCATTGATAAATATATTGACTGGCTGAGGCCCCAGCAAAAATTCTTATGGGGAATCATTAGTTCTTCCCTGCAAATCAAGTAAATGCTATTCATAGAATCCCTACAGTATGGAAGCAGGCCATTCAGCCAATTGAGACCACACCAACCCTCCAAAGAGCATCTCATACAGACCCAGTCCCCTACCCTATAACCCTGCATTCCCCATGCCTAAACGAGCCAGCACATCCCTGGACGCTATAAGCAATTTAGCATGGCCTGTACATCTGTGAACTGTGGGTGGAAACCGGAACACCCCGAGGAAACCCAAGCAGACATGGAGTCCCTGGCACTGTGAGGCAGCAGTGCTAACCACTGAGCCACTATTCCTTATCTTTACCTTTTACCATTCAATCAGGCCTCAATTAGACTTTAAATTTCATGGCCTTTACTTTCAGTTAACACTTTCTTATGGGGAACGTTATCAAACATTATCTGGAAAATTATGTAAGTTATTTGCAAATACAATCCCCTCTCTACAGTTTTTGCCACTTCCTCTAAAATCTCAACTAGATTTATTAGACATGGGCAAAATTGTGGAAAATTAACTTAACTGTGAGATCATCCACACTGGACCAAGAAAGGATAGAAAATGTTAGAATTAAAAAGATGATAAGTTGCAAAAATTGGAGTTTCAAAGAGACTTTGTTGCAATGAAGCTATTGTTTAAATGTATGATCTCCTTGACCTAGCATTTGGTCAACTATATTTTTGTCAGATTATGATGTCAAGCACCTTTGGATATTTGAAAATGCTGAAAACACATCATTAACATAAATTGTTATCTTTATACGGGATGTTTGATGTTGTACAATTCACCATGATAATGATTAGCAGCAGCATAGTAAAATGCTACATAGAGATTGTGTGACCAGAGGATCCTAATCCAGCATCTAAGGTGTTCATTGTTTTGATACGTTTGTATCTGCAGCTGATAATGACAACCCTTGGGGTGTTGAAGAAGAAAGAAGACATAAGTTTCGTATTCACAACATGTTTTGAATCAGCAACACAATTCACCTGCAAGAGGTGACAAAATAAGAGTGTATCCTGAGGGCTCAAGAGTGTAATTTCAGAGCTATATATCCCACCCAGTTATCCCAACATGGAACAGCAGAGTTAGAGATCACAATAATCTGTCACAACATTACAAACTATAATTAAGTCAGTGTGACCATCACTGGATAAATATTCTATTCTAGTTATCGTGAAACATGGAATGTAATAGCAAATTTAATAATATATTTGAAAATATTTAGGCAGAGTTCGTACCTCATAGTATTTCTTGTAATTCACTGAAGAATGACATATGGAAAAATAGCCACCATGTTCTTTTAAGAGGGAGCAATGCTCTCTAGCATATTTTTCTATACAATAAATGTCAGACATAAATAGAAATTAATTTAGAGATCATCAAATAGTTCAGCAATATTTTGTTTTACCACTTCTATAATTTAGCATTTTTTAAATTTTACCAGTATTCACATTTGGGAGATTATAGCTACTATAAGTTTCTGATATTTACACCATACATTGTCTTACAGTGCAAGAATTTCATTTAATATAATGGTGCTTATACACAGCTGCCATTGGATCCGTGATCAAATCAGGAAGAGAGAAATGTTTGTAAACGCTGGTTTTAAATTTGTTTTTTATTTAGCAGCAACAGCTCCTATTTAATGGGGTTTTGCACAGCCAATGGAAAGTCCAAAGTAAACTTGCCAAATTTGCTGAGGCCCTTGCATCCCACTGAATTCAGTAATACCATGCTTGGCACTGGACGTTCAGAATGTGATGTCCAGAGCAGCATGGAGTGATTTCTAGGCTAAAGGTACAATATACGTACATGTAATTTGCTCTTCTCATTGTCGTAAAATAGATGCAGGTAAAACAAGATCCAAAAGGCTCCAGAAACCCAGAAGGTTAAGGTTTTGGTTTTTGTAAATATTCTCCTATAACTCCAGTAGAAAACTAGCAAAACTATCAGATCTGGGTATAGTGATCCTCACACACCTTACATTTTCCAGTGTGTCCAGACAGGAGAGGAGCTGTTAGTGTGTACATACAGATTATGAACAAGAGTAGGCCATTTGGCCTGCCCATCAAAGGCAAATGTTGTCAGCTGAGGAGCTAGGAGATTAAGTACAATTACAAGTAGTTACTGTCTTCCCAAATCAGTTGAGATGCCACATTATGCCCGAGTTCACTAAGATAATTTGACAAGCAGCAGATGGGCAGGTGAGGGATTATTGTGGAGCAAGGTGAGGGCCTAGTAGTTGGGAATCTGGATCCTGAAGAAAGGGACATCTTAAAGAGGGAGCATCTTTTTTAATTTGTCCATGGGATGTGGGCATCACTGGCTCAGACAGCAATTATTGCCCATCCTTAATTGCCACTTGAGCTGACTGGCTTGTCAGAACCAGTTCAGAGCACAGTTAAGAGCCAACCACTTTGCTACGGATCTGGTATCACATGTAGACCAGACTGGGTAAGGAATGATTTGAACTACAGGGAAAGGCTGAATAGGCTAGGGCTATTTTTACTGGAGAGTCAGAGGCTAAGGGGTGGCCTTATAGAAGTTTATAAATCATAAGGGACATGGATAGGGTGAAGATCCAAGGTCTTTTCCCCAGGGTAGGGGACACCCAGACTAGAGGTCTGTGACTAGTGGTGTTCCACAGCGATCTATACTGCGACCTCTGCTATTTGTGATATATATCAATGACTTGGATCAAAATGTAGATGGGTGGGTTAGTAAGTTTGCAGAAAATACAAAGATCAGTGGAGTTGTGGATAGTATGGAAAGTTGTCAAAGAATACAGTGGGATATAGATCAGTTGTAGATATGGGATTAGAAATGGCAGGTGAAGTTTAATCAATGTAAGTGTGAGGTGCTACACTTTGGGAGATCAAATGTTAAGGAAAAGTATACAGTTAATGGCAGGACTTTGAACAGCATTGATACACAGAAGGATCAAGTCCATAGCTCCCTGAAAGTGGCCACACATGTAGGTAGGGTGGTAAAGAAGCCGAATGGCATGCTTGCCTTTATTGGTCAGGGAATTCAGTGCAAGAGTCAGGATGTCATATTGCAGCTTTATAAGACTTTGGTTAGGCCACACTTAGAGTATGTGTTCAATTCTGGTCGCCACATTACAGGAAGGGTGTAGAGGCTGCAGAAGAGGTTTACTAGGATGCTGCCTGGATTAGAGGTGAGAAAAACTCAGGTAGTTTTCTCTTGAGCGGCGGAGGCTGAAGGGAGACTTGATAGAAGTCTATAAAATTATGAGATGCATAGATAGGGTTGACAGTCAGAATATTTTTCTCAGAGTTGACATGTCTAATATTAAGGGGCATGCATTTACGGGGGGGGGGGGAAGTCAAAGGAGAAATGAGAGCTAATTTTTTTTTACACAGAGAATGGTAGGAGTCTGTAACGCATATCCAGCGGTGGTGGTTGAGGCAGATATGATAAGAGCATTTAAGGAATCTTTATATAAGCATATGAATAAGCAAGGAAGGAGGGGTATGGACCAAGGACAGGCAGAAGGGATTACTTTCATTTGGCGTTATGTTCAGCACAACATCGTGGGCCGAAGGGCCTGTTCCTGTACTGTTCAATGTTTTACATTCTAGAGGGCACATGTTTAAGGTGAGAGAGGATCTAAGGGGCAACGCTTTCACACAGAGGGTGGTGCGTGTATGGAATGAGCTGCCAGAGGAAGTGGTGGAGTCTGGTACAATTATAATATTTAAAAGGTATCTGGATAGGTACATGAATAGGAATGGTATAGAGGAATATGAGCTAAATGCTGACAAATGGGACTAGATTAATTTAGGATATCTGGTCAGCATGGACAACTTGGACCAAAGGGTCTGTTTCCATGCTGTGTAACTCTATGATTCTATGACTATGACAGATTTCCTTCCCTTAAGAACATCGGTGGGACAGATCAGTTTTTACAACTATCAACAAAGATTGCAGGTCACCGTTGGGCCAGCTAATTATTCAAGATTTTTATTCAATTCAAATTTCACCATCTACCATGGTGAAATTCAAACACCAACTCCAAAACATTAGTCAATAAATGTGGAGCTGGAAAAGTACAGCAGATCAGACAGCATCCAAGGAACAAGAAAGTCAACATTTCGGGCTGAAACTTTCCTGCTCCTCGGATGCTGTCTGACCTGCTGTGCTTTTCCAGCTCCACATTTATTGAGTCTACCTTCCAGCATCTGCAGTCCTTACTGTTTCCAAATTCAGAACTTTAGCCTCAAGTTCTACATTACAAGTTCACTCATGTAATCACTATGCCACTCACCTTTGTTACACTAGTAGATTTGTTGGAGTGAGATATTCTCCAACAAATATTACTAAACCTCATGATGTTAACAAACATAGAGCTCTACATAAATCCATGATAAAACAAAAAGTTTCTTAAAATAAATTATTACCATTTTCTGAACTGACACAAGGAGCAGGAGGGGTAATTTCATAAACACACGACTCAGCCTTCCAAGAATGACAGAACGTAATTGCTGTGGCTTCCACAATATTTTCTGATGACAGAAAATCATCATCTACTTTGTCATTAAAGTTGCCACATAATCCTGGAAAACAAGAAAATATGTGGTATCAGTACACAGGCTTCTCTACTTGATGCTTGAGGTACTATTTGTTACTTTGTGAAAAGCACATGAATGGTATTTGGTTTAATGCTTTCAAATACTCTGTTTCAATTATAGTTTGTGCTGTTTAGGGTTCCACAATAATCTGGTTATAATGTTTGCAAAGAGAAGCCAGAGAGATACCATGGAACAGAAACTGAGAAGGAAACTAAATGAAGTCCCTCCAGAACAAAAAAAATTAATGAATAAATCAATAGATCCCAATAAAGTGTTAAGTTTAAGAAAACTACCCTTGTTTTAAAATACCCTACCTGGAGTTAAAAATGCCAAGGAGTCTAAAATACTGTAACTCCTCTTGAGGAAGGTGCCACAGACAATTCTGTATGTATTTAGTTATAACTCTGATTCCCCCAACTTACCAGTAAAAAGAAACAAGAGCAGCAATTGGCACATTGAGCTCACTCTGCTATTCAATTTGATCACAGCAGCTCTGATTGTAACGCTCACTCCACTTTCCTGCCTGTACCCCTCAAGTTCCTCATAGATCAAAAATCTATCTTACTCAGTCTTGAATATATTCAATGACACAGCCTCCTCTGCTCTCTGGGGAAGAGATTTCTAAAGAATACTAAGCATCTGCGGAAAAAAATGTCCTCACCACTGTCTTAAATTGTAACTCATTTCTTTTAAACAGCACCCCTTATTTCAAGACTCTTCCAAAGGAGGAAGCATTTTCTCAGCATCTGTTGTCAAATTGATAACATTAATATCTTTATTTAAAAGCGTTTTAATTGTACCTCTTACAAGTCCTTTTGCGTCATTAGGAAGTGAGATATAAAGCTGTGCAATTGGACCAATTTTCAGTTGCATTTTGAGTCCATTATCCGTTGACACTTGAATGTAATTCGAGGACTGATAAAAGATGTTGATGTTGTCTGCAAAAGCAAAAAAAACAGACTCAAATTCATGTTAAGCAAGTTATTCCCTTAACTTGATGAGAATAAGTGGAGTTTTCTTACTTTTCCTCAATGGGATTTGCGTTGGAATTCCATCCAGATAGACAACACCATTCTTCTGGATTTGATATTCAATCTGCAGGGAAAGAATAAAGATTATCTGGTATAATTTTCAAAAAATGAAAATTATTTGTCAAGCATGTTTGTAAATAAACAAATTTAAAATACTTGCCTTAGAATAAATGTATGTGACACTTTCCAAACAGATTTGTTTAAGTCCTTCTTGGCATGGATGCATCTCAATCTTGACTAACCATGTATCTGTCTAAATGACAATTTAAAAAGCCAATCTCAGACATTGATTCAGCAGGCATTCTTATGTGAACTTCAAATAACTACGGCATCAGCACACAATGAAGGAAAGGATCACTTACTAAAGCAGCAACGTATGAACAATCTCCCATCAACTGATAGCTTTTGCCATCAAATGTTGTAATATAGTTTCCTTCTTCAAATTTGCAAAATTGAGGACAGCTAAGAGGAAGGCATTCCCATTCTCCATTTTTACAGGTGCTAGAAGTACAGGAAAATACATTTACAGCAACATAACATTCAAACATATCAAAAAAAATAATTTGATGAGAAGTATACATCTCAAAGTAGTCACCATTACCAATTATGGCAAAAGCCAACTGTCCTCTCTCCACTTAAGTAAATAGATCCACCAATTCTGCAAGGACATTCTGTTTTCGGGATACAATTGTCTGTTTTTCTTATGTTGTCAAGAACCATTCCTAAAGGATAAAATTAATATGTCAGTTAGAAGTTACATGACAGGCTTAAAGATGTGGAACACACTTTAACTTGCACAAATACGAACAAAATAGACTGAAAATATGCAGTGAGTCTTGCAACGTGAGGCTTCCTTGTTGCAGTTTTTAAAAAAAAATCAAATCTCCTTATGAATTGTGATTGATAGAGTGCTTGTGATGTTAAATTTCGTGATTGATGATTACTTTGTAATCTATCAACTCATCCTGTCTGGCCATGTTAATATCAAAAGTGAAATTTCTGATTATTACCGACATTTTGATAATTAAATGTAACTTTAATGTCCACATTTAATATTATAGATCAGATATTAGGTGCATTTCATGCCTTGCCATTGTTAATATATGGCATGGGCAATGGGTGGGGAGGGGTGGGGTGGGGAGGCTAATGAGGTTTTAAGTGGTGAGTGCTAAAGAGCCAAATAGCCTTTAATACAACCACAACAAAATCTCAGAGAATGAAGGAAGACCTTCTGATCAATCTGCCTCAGCAATCACCTGCTTCAGTGGCCACATACAAAATGTTTCAAGGGTTAGTGAGCCCAACTCAATCCCACCTTCACCTTCCCTGTGTGAAAATAGGTCATGTGGGAGCCCATTTACATGGAGATAAGTTTGCTGAATCTGCATGTTTCCTGCTTTTCTGGAGAAGCTACTCCCCCAATGGTTTCAAATTGGGTTGCTAGGAAAAGCTACAAAACATATATATATAGGAACAAAAACAGAGCTGGAAAAGCTCAACAGGTCTGGCAGCATCTATGAAGAAAAATTAGAGTAAACATCTCAGGTCCGGTGATCCTTCCTCAGCAGTTCTGTCAACTACGTTTAAAGTAGTATTTAAACATGTATGTAAATACATATATAAAATATGGAGAATAATCTTGTAGCAAAGCTTAACTGGAGGAAAGAGAACATTAAGAACTGCCGATGCTGGAGTCAGAGATAACACAGTGTGGACCTGGAGGAACACAGCAGGCCAGGCAGCATCAGAAGAGCAGGAAAGCCGACGTTTCGAGTTGGGTTTTCTGAAGAAGGGTCCCGACCCGAAACATCAGCTTTCCTGCTCCTCCAGCAGCTGCCTGGCCTGCTTCGTTCATCCAGCTCTACTCTGTGTTAACGAGAGGAAAACCTGAGAAACAAACAAGGGAAAGGTTGCCATCTAGAGGCCAGATTGTGTACTTGCACAACATGCTATGTTTAAGCAAGGTTACCTCAAACAAATGTGGGCTCGAGAATTATAATGTTAAGATGTTAAAGTAAGAAGTGTGGATAAAACATGACAACAGTAAGTCAGGTAGCATAAGAGGAAAGACCTAACATGTGCAGATAAGAATATAACAAGAGTGTCTAGGTGATCTTGTTTCGTTTAAATGTTATTTTCAGAAATTCCCACTGTATTAAAGTGGATTTGATTACTTGTAATGAAACGTTTTTCCTAGCAACAATGCTTTACAACATCAGTGTGTGGTCCCATCTCTGTTGGTGTAGTCAATAGTAAAGCAGAATTCTTTTTGCTGCCCTCAGGAACCTTCTCAATATGCAATGTAAGTTGGACCAATGTGTTTCATTCAACACTTTACTGGTTTTTCTTTTGGATTGGCTTTAAATATCCCAGGTTTCTTCACTGGAGTGTTTTCAAACAGAATTGGACTCTGATCAGTAAACAGGAATTTTGGGAAAATGATCTAAAGAGATCTCTGCTCTTCTCGAATGTTGGCCTCTTCCAAGTCCTTGGTTTTAAATATTCCATCACTAAGAGTCACGTCTTCATCCCCCAACAGATCCTGAGCTCTAAAGGTCCTGCTCCAAACTTCCCTGCCTTTGAGACACTCCTTTAAGTTGTTAATAATGTGTCTAGCAAAACCCATTACCTGCTCCTTGAAATAACAAGGTGTAGAGCTGGATGAACACAGCAGGCCAAGCAACATCAGAGGAGCAGGAAAGCTGACGTTTCGGGCCTAAAGGGTCTAGGCTTTCCTGCTCCTCTGATGCTGCTTGGCCTGCTGTTTTCATCCAGCTCTATACCTTGTTATCTCAGATTCTCCAGCATCTGCAGTTCCTACCTGCTCCTTGAATGTCACTACCACTAAACAACAACACCTTGCATTCATATGGAAATATTGACATCCCTTTCTTGTCCCACACTAGGTAACCTGGTAAATAGTTACCTTACCTACCTTACTGAACTGCTTTCATCACCTCCCTTTTCAAAAGCTCCAGTTAACCCCCTCCTTCCTTGAAAATTATCTTCCATCTTCAACTCCCCCATCCTCTTCATTGTCCTTGATCATCTAGATGTCTTGCAATTTTGTGCCCATTCTTCCCCACAATCTTTCCAATGGGATTGCTTTCAATGGCCTGAATCAAGCATATAAATCAGCACCACCCCTCCACCTTACTCGCCTGTCAGGAAGACATGTAATCGAGGAGGTGGCAAGTGAAGGCCCTTAAATGGCCATTAATTGACCATTTAAGGAACATAATTAGTGGCAGATAAAGAAAGTCCCCATTAGATCTTCTCACTCAGCACTTAATTGGTGAAGTAGCGAAAAGGGTGGAGGGGGTGGTGAATATCTTTCCAGGACAACAAGCCCATAAGCAAAAATTTGTAGGTTGGGTTGTGGATGCAGTTGTTCGTTAGCTCGGCAAGCTGGTTGTTCCGTGGTTTGCAGACATTTTGTTACCCTTCTAGGCAACATCATCAGTGCAACCTCCAATCAAACTGCACACAAACCTACAGCAACATTATGTCAAATGTTATCAAAGACTAAAGACCCCAACCCGACAGTAAACAAGACCAATGTGATATACAGGGTAGCATGCAGCGAGTGCAATAGACATTACATTGGACAAACAGGGAGGAAACTGATGACCAGGATATAAAAACACCAGCTGGCAGTAAAAAGTCACGGCCAATATTCACTTGTCTCGATACACACAGACAATGAGGGCCATCAGTTCGACTGGGAAAAAGTGACCATACTGGGACAAGCGAACACCAGACATACAAGGGAATTTCTGGAAGCCTGGCTCTCAACAATGGACTCCATTAACAAACACATAGAAATAGACCCGCTACACAAACCACTTGTAAAACAACAGAACTAGAAGCGACAAGACCATCACACCAGAGAATCATATAAATCTGGAAGGAAGCAGAACAGCAATGCTTCAATTTGAGGTCACACTGATAATGTTGCCTAGAAGGGTAACAAAACGTCTGCAGACCACAGAACAACTGACTTGGCGAACTAACAAACAACTTCTCCCTACCCACCATTCCTCTCACCATCTTCAGAGTGGGAAAATTTCATCCAAAAACCATTGGACTATAAGACATAGGAACAGGAGCAGGCCATCTGGCTCATCATTATTCTGCCATTCAATGAGATTGTAGTTGATCTGATATAATCCTCAACAACAAAAGCTGAAGTTGCTGGAAAAGCTCAGCTGGTCTGGCAGCATCTGTGAAGAAAAAATCAGTGTTAACATTTGGATCCAGTGACTCTTCCCCAGAACCAGACCAGAAAGGGTCACCGGACCCAAAACATTAACTCTGATTTTTTCTTCACAGATGCTGCCAGACCTGCTGAGCTTTTCCAGCAACTTCTGTTTTTGGTCCTGATTTACAGCAGTTCTTTTGGTTTTTATTTTTATATAATCCTCAACTGTACCTTTCCAGTTTATCACCACAACCATTGAGTCCTTTAATAATTAGCTATCTGTCTATCTCAATATTGAATATACCTAACAACCCAGACTTGACATACTTCTGCAGTAAAGAATTCCACAGATGCACGATCCTCTGAGAGAAAAAAAAGGGATGGTGAGAGGCATAAGCAAAAGAGACTAGGAATGTATCAGATTTCAGAATAAACCACAACACTGAGAGCTTGCTCAGTGTCTAATAGAGAAAACTCCAGAAAGATTTAGTACACAGGTGAAGGGTAACTATAGTGACTCTGAGTGTGACCATTCACATGCCAGAATTGCAAAGAAGTGCAGACTGAAGCTTAAACCCTTGAGGTGGTCCAAGAGAGGTATCAGAGCATGTAGTCTGCCCTCTCCCTCTTAGCAACCACTGCCCACCCTAAAACTTGCAGCTATAAAAGATTACTTAAGCATCTGCTTGAATTTTGAGGAGAGTTTGTTGTTCAAAGCAGTCAATAACGTTTTTTTTTGTGCATACAGCTCCCCACGCCACACAATGGAAAGCTAGATGTCACCAGCTCCCGAACTTACAACATGTGTCACCATCCCCAAAAATGTATTTTGCGCACAATCGAAAAATGAATTTTAAAGAGAAAGTTGTCATTTATGCCAATCTCACCGATCCCTCTGGTTCTAAGAGTTTAACATTTGGGATTTAGTGTGTTATATCCTTGTTCACGTGTATTTAATGAGGCAGAATGCAGAATTGTCAACCGAATAGCAAGGAGGATACAGGCTGACCAGGTTAGGCACTTTTGCCATGACAGTCCCCGCAACCCAGAGTGAAGATTATGGCATCACAGTGAAACAGTGATCCTGAAACGTCCAATGGAAGTGAGTAAATTATAGCAATCACATCTTTGCTAGTGTTAAATAAGATTGTGTAAAATATAACCTCAAGCAAATTAAATTGCGTTGAACAATAAAAATCCAATACCTGCTGGACAATCACATGTGTTCACACACTGTTCACATTGGATTTGTGAATTTGGATTAGTACAGGTTGCAACACAGGCAGGCCCGCATTCCTTGTGAACCTGATTCCCAGGACAGGTCTTCTGAGCTGAGAACAATAAAAAAAAAGTGTCAACTTTGTCATTTGACCTGCGCAATGCTGATAAACACCAAAAGAATAATGACAAAAATCACCTTTCTTGGCTTATCTGGGCATGAAATTGAAAAGAGATTATCAGGTTATATTCACTCACTGGAGGAGTCTGGTAGCCGTACTTACCACAGCCTGTAGATTGTCGCCATGTTTGCCATTGTTCACCATCCCAAGCTGTACATTGACGTGCTGTTTCTTCAAAATGGGTGCAAACATCACAAGTCTCTGTACTTTCACATGTGCAAACATCTTTCTGACACATCTCCAAATATTGATCAAGAATGTCTGGGCTAATACAAAGCTCAAAAATCTTTGAAATTTCCGAACAGTTCTGAACATGGACAAAAGAATCACAAAGAGAATTAGATTAACACTTTCCTAAATCAGTGTCTCTGGGGTGCCCTAATGGTTAAACAAGCAGCAGAAAGCTAGCTAATGCCCAGTGCAGCCAGGTTACATCACTTTAAATAGGTGATTTCCAGCAGACATCCCACTCACACTTGGAGATCCCAAATCTTGAGCTGTGCCAACTAGTGTCCAAACTCTCTGAAGTATGCTCCATCAAGAAATAACTGAAGGGGGAAGGGTGTCTTCCTAAAACTAACACAGTCAGAATAGCCACAACACCAAGCTGCAAAGGTGGTGGGAGAGCTGAACCATCTCATTTGAATGTAGTCTGCTGGCTGTGGGCACCAAACGATTATGAAACAGCAGGAAAGTACCAAGAGTGGGGAAACTGGGAGAGATGAAATTTATTGTTAGTGAAATAAAGCTGACCTCCGTACGTCATTCTGTTGAATGAACCAACAGAAAAATTCTTGTAAAGCTAAAAATTCTCTTGCATATTGACCGAGCATTTTAGGAAGCAGCCATGACATATCCCTTTAGGAGCATTGGTTAGGCTAATTGTAGCTTTGTACAATATGGTAGAATTCAGAACCTTTCACCCCTCTCCCCACCTCAAAAGTAATCAGGACACCACAACTGGCAACAGTTCCACAGCAACAGAAAGCTATTTAACAAGGCCTTCCTTGTAATGGGGAGAAGTAATGACTATTGGAATTCTGCTTCAAATGGGCTCTTGGGGGTAACCAAAGTTACTCCCCTAACTGATTTGTATCTGCCACATTTCCAATTCTCAAATAAGAAATGGATTGCAATAGCAATCCGTTAAAAATCAACCCCTTTATTTGGCAAAAGGATTAAAAATACTACCAGATTTTCCAAGTTGTCAAATAGAAAACCCACAGGACAGGGTGGAATGCTAACTTCCCACTCTATCCAATATTACTCACCAAGGACAGCAAAATCAAGCGGTGCATTAAAGCAGATTTATATCCATGCCATCAGATCAGGCCCATTTACTTAATTTTTTATTAAATTCTGTAATTTTAAAGTCCTAACTTTGCCCTTCTTTCAGATCTGATCAGCTTCATCTCCCGATTATCACACTAATCCACCTCAATGGGACACCGGTGCCAGTTTAATTTTAAGTAAAATACGTCCTATCTTTACATTCCTTGAACCCATGGTGAGGAAACTTGAAACTGTTCATTTCACACTTACAAGTCACAGAGGAATGTTTGACCTATTTATCTTCATATGCCCCAATATGTGGTTATAGGAATGATATATATGAGTGCCTAGTGTCCCTGCTCTTTAACGTAATACCTAATTCTTCAAGCTAATTTTGTAAAACCTTGACCTAGCTCCAACATGATTGATAATCTCTGACTGTCTTCTGCCTTTTTCAAAAACATTTGTACTTACTCTATAACTAACTTTACAGCAAATCTCCACTTAAAGACAACTCACTTAGCATTGTTTTGCTCAAATAATACAGTAGCGTTGTAATATTTATTTAACACTGCGAGTTACTCTTTAGCATAATTTGCCATGCAGAGCCTATTCTGTAGCCTGTAATGTGCACGTGACTTTCTCCCCCAGTGCTACTGCAATGAGCCTTGACGTCCCTCTTGCCTCTGCTCCTGTTCTCCATTCTCAAGGGCTTCAATTGTTCCTAACATTCTGCCCTGGTTCCCAGCCTGACTTCTGTACCTCCCCTCACCTTCTGTTCTTCAGCATCTCCACTCCTGCTTGCAGCCTCCAATTCTGCATGCCAAGTCCCGGGATCCATCTAGTGGCGGAGATTGGTCGATGCAGCTGATACTCCCACTGACCAATTTCTGCCAATAGATGGAGCATAGTTCATTTAACACTACCTTAGGTAAATCACAGAATCACAAGCTAATTATGGTGCTGAAGGAGGTTATTTGTGTCTGCACCCTGAGTATTTTGACTTAGTGCCAATTCTCTGACATTTTACCCATAACCTTGCATATTGTTTCCTTTTAAAGAATCACCCAAAACCCTATTGAATGCCTCAATTGAACTTCTAGGCAGTGCAATCCAGACCCAAACTACTTTCTTTATGAAATGTCTTTTTTCTCCCCTCACATTTGATTTCTTCGCAAAACATTTTAAATCTGTGCCTTCTGATTTTAGATCCTTTTACGAGCTGGAAATTTCTCCCATCTATTCTGTCTAGATCCCTCATTATACTGAAAGATTCTATCAAATCATAGATCGTCATAGATCATAGAATCCCTACAGTGTGGAAACAGGCCCTTCAGCCCAATAAGTCCACACCGACCCTCAGAGCATCCCATGCAGACCCATCCCCTGAATTGACAATCCACCTAGCCTGCACATCTTTGGACTGTGGGAGGAAACCGGAGCACCCGGAGGAAACCCACGCACACACAGGGAGAATGTGCAAAATCCACACAAACGGTCGCCTGAAGCTGGGATCGAACCCAGGCACTGTGAGGCAGCAGTGCTAACCACTGAGCTATCGTGCTGCCGATTCTCCACTTTATTTTCTCTTCTCCAAGGAAAGCAGTCCCAGCTTCTTCAATCTAACCTGAAAACAAAAGTTTCTCATCCTTGGAGCTATTGGCATTAACATCTTATGCTCCATCTCCAATGCTTTCACATCTGTTTCATAGTGTGGTGCTCAGACCTGTACACAATACACCAGCTGAGGTCTAATTAATGTCTTAGCTATGTTCATCATAACCTCCTTGCTTTTGTATTCTATGGCCCCTCTTACATACATAGAGTCACACAGCATAGAAACAGGCCCTTTGGTGCAACTTGTCCATGTCGAGCAGGTTTTCCAAACTTAACTGGTCCAATTTGCCTGCAGTTGGCCCATATCCCTCTAAACGTTTCCTATTCATGCACCCGTACAAATGTTTTTTTCAATGTTGTTGACTGCACCTGTGTCTACCACTTCCTGGCAGTTCATTCCACATACAAACCACCCTCTGTATGAAAATGTTATCCCTTAGGTATGTTTTATTAACAACAATTCTGCCACCTTCAACAACTTAGGTATATAAACACCCAAATATCTCTGCTGTTGCACACTCTTTAGAATGGTACCCTTTAGTTTATACTGCCTCCTCAAGTTCTTAGTACCAAACTGTAACTTCCTCACATCTCTCCACATTGAATTTCATCAGCCAGCCATCCACCTTCTCTACCAACTTATCAATTCCCTTTTGAAGCTCTACACAGCCTTCCTATAGTTTACAAAATTCTCATGTTTTAAGTCATCTGCAAACATTGAAATTGCCCCCTGCACACTAAGATCTAGATCATTTATATACATCAAGAACAGCAAGGGTCCCAGTGTTGATTGCAATCTTTCTTCCAGCATGAGAAATATTCATTAAACATTACTCTCTTTCCTATCCCTCAGCCAAATTTTCGGTCCACATTGCTAATCTTTTTTAATTCCATGAGTTTCAACTTTTCTCAGAAGTCTATAGTATAACTCTGTATCAAATACTTTTTGGAAGTCCATGTACACAACATCAACCTCAATGCCCTAAACGACTCCCTTCTGTTACGGCTTCAAAAAAAATCCAGCCATTTAATTACACATGACTTTCTCTGAACAAATCCATGTAGATTTTTCCAAATTAAATCATATTCTTGCATGCTCCAATGGTGTAGGTTATAACATATTGGCATGGATAGAATATAAGCTGGCTAACAGGAAACAGACAGTAGGCATCATTGGATCATTTTTTGTTTGGCAAGATGGAAATGGTAAAGTTGCTATAGTCTTACCAGACCATAGATGCTGCTCTCTCATTTGAGAGAGAGAGATTACTGGTGGTAGTTTAACCTGAGGGCCACCATGCCTCAGGTGTTGTGAAGTTGAGTAGAGTACTTGTGGATTGGGAGGCAGAAAGTTAGGATTTGGTGTTTGTAAAATGTTAGGGGGTGAAAGCATTGCGTGGTCCCTTTAAAAGATCATGTGCTTTTTCTGTGCTTAGAGATTTAAAATGGGTGTCTGTAAGCAGTAGTTTTTACCAAGACAACAAGCTTTTGAATTTAGTCAATTTGAACTAAGCACTTAGATACCAAAAGCCAATTAAATTTAAATCTAATTGTTTTGACAACATAGGCCCAATCCTGTTGTAAGAAATATTGATATGTCATCAAGGGTATAAAAGAAGGGGACAATTGGACAAAGCCCAGCGCTAGCTGCTAGCTGCCAAAGCTAATGGCCCTCAGCTCTCAAGAGAGAGTTGCTGGTTTTCACAGCCTCCTTCGTCTTAGAGAAAGCACCAACTAAATAACAACGGTATCAACGGCACAATTAGTTAATATTCCTGACAGAAAAATCGACGAGATGCCACAGAGCTTTCCAGAAGACATGTAATGTGGCTGCAATTTCGAGAGACTAAATTCTTTTTTTTAAAGTGGGACATGTATTTATTGGAACAGCATACCATTAGAATCTTGCTTTAGTTCGTAGTTAGAAGGGATTTATTTGGTTTGTGAATAGTTTAGTTAATTTGTTCACTGTTAGCGTTAGATAAATAAATTGTTACTCGTTGATTGTAAAGTGACTGTCAGGTGCTTATTTTATTTAACGACTAGAAGTTGCTGAAAGGCAGGTTATACCACTTTTCACACTCCTTTTACAGATTATGGCATGATGTACTCCTCTTTGGGTGTTTCGGCATTACTCCTCAGAGGAGGGTCAATCTCTGTGTTGTAACACAGGCAAGGGGAGGAGTTAAGAAGGAGAGCCCTTCAATGGTAAGATCAACCAGAGTGGGGATTGAACCTACACCATTGGCATTATTCCAGATCACAAACAAGCTGTCCAGATAATTGAGCTAACCAACCCCTTGGTAAGATATAATGAGTGCTGTACCCCAGTTATCTGAGCTGAGGCCTCAAGATTTTAGAATTTACTTACTTCTGGCAAATGGTATATAACATGGGAAAATGTGAAATTTTCCAGGAAGAAAGAAAAATAAGAATATTATCGAAATAGAGCTCTGCGATGTATAGGCCTCTGGCTGTCCTAATGAATGAATCACAAAAGGCTGGTATGCAGGTACAGCAAGAAATTAAGAAAGCGTGTTGAATGTTGTTTTTAATCATTCATGGGATGTGGGCATTACTAGATGGGCCAGCATTTATTGCCCGTCCCTAGTTACCTTTGAAAAGGTGTTCGTGAGCTGCCTTCTTAAATTGTTGCAGTCCACATGCTATAGGTAGACCCAATATCCTTATGGAGGGAATTCCAGGACTTAGACCTAGCAACAGTGAAGGAAAGGTAATATATTTCCAAATCAGGATGGTGAGTGGGTTGGAGGGGATCTTGCAGGTGGTGGTGTTCCCATGTAGAATGTTATTGTTCATTGTGAGTAGACTTGAAAACAAAAGTAGTAAGGCTATGCTTCAGTTGTACAGGATACTGGTGAGACTATATCTGGAGTACTCATTACAGTATTATTCTCCTTATTTAAGGAAGGAGGCAAATACATTGGAAGCAGTTTGGAGAAGATTTACTAGTCCAATACATAGAATGAGCGGACACAGTGTGGGGCTGGAGGAACACAGCAGGCCAGGCAGCAACAGAGGAGCAGGAAAGCTGATGTTTCGGGTCAGGACCCTTCTTCAGAAATCATTTCTGAAAAAAGATCCTGACCCAAAATGTCATCTTTCCTGCTCCTCTGATGCTGCCTGGCCTGCTGTGTTCCTCTAGCTTCACACTGTGTTATCTCAGACTCCAGCATTGGCAGTTCTTACTATCATAGAATGAGCAGGCTGCCTTAGGAAGAAAAATTGAGGTTTATATCTGCTGGAGTTTAGAAGAATAAGAGGTGATTTGATTGAAACATCTAAGATCTTGAGAGTGCTTTACAAGGTAGATGTGGCCAGGATCTTTACCCTTCCAGGAGAATCTCGAACTTGGGGGTCACCATCTAAAAAAAGGGCTTTCCCATTTAGCCAGTGGTAAAGAGAAAAATATGCTGATAGAGTGATGGAATTATCTTCTTCAAAAGATAGTGGAAGCAGAGTCATTGATTTTACTGAAGGCAGAGATCATTGATTCTTGTTTAGCGAGGGGTGAAAGATTATCAGTGGTAGGCAAGGATGTAGGAATGAAGTTACAATCTGATCAGCTGTGATGCCATTGAATGGTGGATCAAACCCAAGGGATGAGAAAGGCTGACCTGTTCCTAACTCGCATGCTTGTATGTAAGTGATACACTGAGACATGAATCCGGATCATTGTTCCCTCACTGTCGCTGTATCAAAATCCTGGAACTTCAGAGCAATACTGTCAGTTTTACCTGCACCAGGTGCATTAGGATTAGTCAGGTGATCAATATGGATGAGATGGACCAAAGAGTTTTTTACCGTGATCTAAAAATTCTATGGTTCTATGGTGCATATTAAGTTAACTGGCTGGTAGTTTCTTATTTTCTGTCTCTCTCTATTTTTGAATGAAGGAATTGGGTCCACTATCTATCGAGTAATAGAACTTTCCCCAAATCTACAGAAGTTTGGAAAATTAGAACTGTCACATCCATTGTATCACTAGTCACTTCTTTTAAAACCCTAAAATGAAGTCCATCAGCACCTGGGGACTTCTCAGCCTCCAGCCCAAACAATTTGCTAAGTACCACTTCCCTTGGTAACAGTAATTTTCTTGAGTTCCTCACTCCCTTTCTTCCTTCTCCTGTATTACAGCTATTCTGGGCCGTTATTTGTATCCTATATAATAAAGACTGGTGTAAAATACCTGTTCAATTCATTTTCCATCTCCTTATTTTCCATTATTAATT